TAATGCTTATTCATATAAAATACTTCAAAGCATCAAAATAAATTTATGTTACATTCGTAGATGTTATAGAATCACATCTCAAACTTTGGCTGGGAGAACCTTAAAATTAATATTCACAGATTCTCTCCTTCCAATTTTGACTTCATTTAAGCTTCTTCAAAGATTTGGCTGAAAAATCTAGTCTATTTGTAACTAATTCTGAAAAACATGCAGTTATTTTCCTTCTGCTTCAGATATGTGTTACTTTGTTTTGGTCTGTCAAAGAAAATCCAAATAAAATACACTGAAGATTGTAGCTGTGGCATGATGAAATTACAAAAGCTTTTGCATACCGATGCATGGATGATGCCTTAAATGAGTTGGAAAACTTTCTCTCACATTATTGATGTCTGAAACAAATGTCTGTTTATTCTCCAACTATCATTTTAAATAATTTAAACGGCACATGTAGCACTTTGCTGATGAATGTTTGTTCATTATGCATGTAAGGAGACAGCACGCATATTTATAGCCAAGAGTCTGTTGCGTTTGGACGGCAGACATCTGGAGGCTTCGCGTGACTCTGAGGAGGAGAGCCTGACCTGTGACCTGGCTGCGTCTCTGTGCTTCAGCATGTCGGTTTGCGTTAATGGCACCTTCGCCTTTAACTGATGAACACATTGCTAAGAATGGAATAATGACGGAGTAGAAACTCGTCCCTCTGCAGCGGATTTGAGCCTGGATTTGAGCCTTCACTTTCGTTTCTTAATTCTAAAATTCTTCATCTGGTGCAGAAATCAGCTGAAATAAATTAAAATGTTTGTGCATAAGCAGAACAATCACTCACTCAATCCTGTTCTATCCTTAAAACTGAGCTATACATATTTTAAAAGACACAAAAATGCTCCTTTGGTTTAAGATGCTTTTAGCTACAAAGTTCAGGTAGAAAAGGAAGAAGAGAAGAGCCCAGATGCTGTAAATGCTGATGGTGGAAGTTAAATGTCTGCACAGATGTCGCTCTGTGCACAAAAATGAAGTGCTTTTACTCTGAGTACAGTGATGGAGAGTCATGGATGTGTGTAGTACTCTGGCATCTAATAGTGCTCCCAAAACAGGACTTTTTTTGTGTGCTACATTAGTGCATCTGCTGCAGAAATGTCACGTGCCGGAGCCCAACGGTCGGGAGACTGAACCGAGGCTTTGGAAGTGGGTCACCGTGGGGAGTTCACATGGCTGTTTGTGTCTAGAGCGGAGCGCTCAGCAGCGCTGCGTGAGTGTAGCTGCAGCAGCAGGCAGACTGCTGGTGATTAGGAACAACAGGGCAGAGTTCAGCTGAGCGAGTGTGTGGAATGCTAATCCACATTGTCATAAGGCGAGCCATGGCCTGACAAAAGGACTGGAGACATCCGGGGGGTTAGAAGGGCTGTTCGTGAGCACGTCTGCCTTGCTCTGTGTGTGTGTTGGTCACAGGAGCGTCTCCAATGAGAGAGATGATTCATTAGTGGAGATTAAGACCAAGCAGCAGCCTGGTATCCGTGCTACTTAAGTAAGGTGGGGGTTGAGGGAACGAGACGGGGGGAAGTGGTTGTTGATATGTGTGAACATTTACACACGGCCAGGTTCATTAAAGAGCAGAGAGCAGTAGTGATAATGAGCCTGGGTGTGTTTTCTTGTGTGGGTGGTGGGTGTAAAGCTATCAGGTGTGCAGGAAATACTGAGAGATAAGCGACCACAGTAGTGGAAAGGAACAAGTAAACGTGTAGAGCTGTGAATGTATGTTATGAAATCATCAAATTAATTTTAATGTAGATAACAATAACAAAAGAATAAAAGTAAATAATGGATTAATGGCATTTCTTGAGTTCAGTTTTGCTGGGAGAGATCAGGCCTGTTTACTACCAGATTGGTGCAATCAATTAAATAGAACCTGTCATGTCAACATGAAGTAGGCCAAAGGATCTCAGAAAGCAACAAGCCTTGACCCTGTCGAAAGAAATTCAATAAGATACGAGACCCATCATTGTGGAAATGGTGATAAATACATTTTAAACACTTTTTTCAGTGACTTGCAATAATTAATGCAACCATTAATTCAGGTCGGTGACAGGAACCTCTGAAGGAGAATGAGTAGCATCAGATTTTAGCAGTTGTAGGATTTCTTTTTTGTCTTTTGCAAAAGACCACAAGTTGTTTCTCCCACTAGTATTTGTCTTGTGTGTTTGTTTTGGCTGTATTTACCCACAATGCCCTGCGCAGTAGTTTGTTTCCTGCTTTTGCAGCGGTCTTCGAACTGCTTGGCATTCGCAAATGCATTCGAATCGCTCCAGAGTTCACTTAATCTGAACCGAGATCTAGGCTTTTAGGTGGACTAGAGTTCGCTATTTTTCGTTAGTTATATTGCGAATTCACACCTTCCTAAATTAACTAGACTTTCCAGGAAAACAAACTAAATTTTGATTTTAAAAAAGTGGACTAAATAGCATTTAGTTTAGGGTGTTGATGCACCATAAACAGGCCTTTAACACTTTGAAACCCCTGCAAATTCTGCAAAGAGGAGAGGGTCAGAATTCCTCATTAGTGATGTGGAAGATTTGTCAGTTGTTGCCACAAAGGGTGAAAAGAAATCTTTAACATTTTCTTTCTAGCAATGTTTGTCCTAAGCATGAAACCTAATCCCAAACAGCCCTGTCCCTCTAATTGATCTGCACAGATATAGAGCAAAGTAGATAAGTGGTCTCAGTAATGGAGCTTCTTCTGTTGTGGGGGTCAAACAGATGAAAGACCCCTGAGAGACCTGAAGTTAATGTCGGTTCAGTTCAGTGCTCTCCATCTGTCTTCCCCTTCACACACAAACCACACACACACACACAACCTTCACAGTGAAGGAAGCTGACGAGAAGGCGCCACCACTGCAGTGTTTTTTTTTCTTGTTTTTTTTCTCTCCCAACTCACTCTTATTACTCAACCCTTCCCTCATCTTTTCACTGTCCCATCATCCCACCCTCTCTCTCCCCCTCCTTCGCTCGCCCCCTCCTTTCAGCGCTGCAGTGCTTCCTTCTGAGCAGAAAAAAAAAAAAAGAGAAAAAACCACCAACCAAATGCGCTCTGGAGCGGACGAGCCTCCTGCCTTCCACACTACACCTGGCTACACATCCAGCTCCATCCTCCATTTGCATGCTCGTTCAGTCATGGCCTTGTAAATAACGGACAGTCCCCCGCTCAGCTGACAGGAGGGGCCACACAAATTAGAACTAGGTAGAGCATCTTCAATTTACAATGAAATAAAAAAAGAGAAACGACTTCCCTTTTATGAGGCAGGGTTTGTGTTTGATAGATGTTGAACAAGGTTTCAGGTCCTGGGGGTGTGCACCAGGCAGTAAAAGATGGTGTTTTCCAAATTGGATAAAAGTGATAAGAGAGAATTATTATGATGTCTAGAGGAATGCAGGCAGATGCTGGACTGCAGCTTGTATAACTGGGACTTAGGTGTCACATTCATTTGCACACATTCTTCTTAGCTTCTGTAATGCATCACTGTGGAGGAAAATCCTTTACTCCAGCTGTTGAAAAGCTGTCTGCTCACCATAGATGGCTTTAAAAGGCGAGGGAGTCAATTATTGATGCTTTCTACAACCTTGTTTCATTTATTTTCTCCTCCTCTGGTCTTCATCTCCCCTCTGCGCCTGTCCCTACCTCACCAGAGCTTCTCTTTGCTCTGGTTCTATCCGCGCTACCTGCCGATTTGCTTCAAAGTGCATGAACGCTGAGGCCTCAGATAAGCATCAACTGTGTCAGTTCGTGGGCTCTTGCTGAGCGCGGCCCCGTGTTTGTACAGAACACAGATCCAGAAAAGCAGAGATGGGAGCGGTGGTATTTAACAAACACATCTGCAGACGCTCTAATGTACATCTGTGCTTTGAAGCGAGAGCTTGACTCCAGCTGCGCTGCATCTCTGCACAGAAGCACCTGACAACAAGACATGTTGACTGTCGGCAAGGCGTTTCCTTGTGGTTTATTTATAGGCCTTCTCTTACTTTCCACAGTGTTGTATCACAGCGAGGCACAGACCAGTTAGAAACTCTCACAGTATGAAGTTTTTAGTGAAAACACTGGTTTTGTTGTAGTTACCATGAAACAATAATGTTCAACACTGTCTAGTTGGTTATATTTGAGAGAGAAAACCAATGACCTATTTTCCTAATGTCATGGTATATAATTATTGATAGCTATTTTGATTAATTTTGGGCAACCAGTCAAATATTTTGACCAACATTTACCAGAAACCCTTTAGTCTCTCTGATGCAATTTCTGGCATCTCCTGAAGGGTTTCAAGTTGTAGAACAACCTGACAGACAATTTTAGCAGATTTGAAACTGCTACTTTAGAAAACGTTGGTATATGTTTGCACTGGTAACTGGCCCATTGCTATTCTAGACCAACCTATCATCCGTGAGGTGTAAAATTCTATTTGTGAGCTGACCTGTGAAGACACTATTGCAGTCATCAATGTGACTAAATATAAATGAGTGAATTAGTTTCTCTTGATCTTGCATTAGACCTTTAATCCTGAGAATGTTCTTCAGACAATAGAAGACCGACTTTGTAATTGTCTTTATGTGTCTTTGAAGGTACAGGTCTGAGTCGACCAATACACCCTGAATTTTTGCCTGATCACTGGTTTCTAGTGGTAATCAGTGAAGCTGAGTGCTGACTAGATCATTCCTCTTCATTAAGATAATTTTAGTTTTGTTTCTGTTCAGCTGAAGAAAGTTATGACATCTCTTCACAATGATTTGGTCAATGAATGAATGGGTTCATGTAATGTAAAGATGTGCATCATCTGCTTTTCAGACATCATGCTGCACTTATAAAACCAATCACTTCCATGGATTTGTTGGACCGAATCTTTGTTTTCCGAATGTTCTGTTCTTCTCCATCCTCACGTCTCTGTGGTTTTGGTAACTCTGGATGGTATTTGTGTGTTAACTCAACTGCCGTCTCTCTCTCTTCATGTGTTTTAGAAGTCGGGAGAGGAAGAGGAGAGCCAACTGAGGAAGTCCTCAGTGGAAATTTGCTCCGCTTCAGACAAGTTAGCTGACACAGAGCCTACGAGAAAGGTCAGTACCCACCCCTAAGAGTCATGAGCCTCACCTCTATTCCTTTTCACACCTTGCGTTCGCTAATTCATAGCAGACGCAAGGTGCTCTGTTCTGTTGGATGAGACTCTTAATCCACTTCCCTTCCACACTCACTGAGTTAAAATGAAGGCTATTCAGTGGGACTATTTTCTCCTCTGAAGTGCATTGTCTCAGCTGATGCCTTATGGGTAATCTCGAACTCACATCTCACATGTATGCATGCATATTGGACTATGGCTCCTATGAGAGAGATGTGCAGAATATTCCCGTCTCACTTTGCTGTTTCACTGTTCATCCAGTCTGCACCAGTTTCCTTCACAGCTCAGTAAATTGGTATAGAACATCTCTAACCATAGCAGTATGTTAGAAAGACAGCGTTTTGGTGGTTGTTTGTCATAGTTATGCTGTTCTTAACTTTTTTCTTCTCTTCCACAGGGGAAACCATCCCCACCAGCTCTGATGTTCAACCGTCTTTTTACAGACATAAAGGAGGAGCCAGGACACCCCACCCTGGTCCATCCCAGGTACTGCACCTCACCTGCTGTGACACAATCTGAAGTTTAAAAATGGTCAATTTCTGCACTGTTATGTCTCATATTGCTTAGTTCAGATACAATTGTATGTTTGTAGTAGCAGACCTCTGCCATTTTACTTCGAGTTACCATAATACGGCCATCCATCCATTGTTCTCTATTTCTTCTTTGCTGCTTCTCCTTCTGTCCCTTCCCCAGTTGCTCCAGTCTGTTTAGTTATCGCTCCATTTTAGGTGACACAGTAATCTCTCCCAGATTAAAGCCTGGAATTAAAGGGTTTACGGAGCCACTGCAGTGTCTGACTGCTTCCCATGGAGACTCTTACAGACTTCAGGCTAGACGAATTAGAGGATGGGAGAGAGAGATTAGAGCCACGATCACCCGGTGGCATCATGAGATTTCACGTTTACATGCATAGACCAGATTAGAACACCAGTTCAGAGCCAGACGAGGTTCAGTTTCGGTTGTCGCAGGGGTCCTCTAGAGGGACACGCGTCTAATGCAAGCCTGCCTTGCATTATTCAATCAGGTCTCAGTTGTTTTAAGTGAAGAAGCTTCATATCCCCGCGCAGGCAGACAGGCAGCGCCTCGTTCCCATCCAGAGGGAGAGCAGGAATGTCTTGGTTGGTGGAGTTTTGAACAGAGCCCCGCTGAGCTGTCAGGCTTAACCTAGTTCACTGCTCCAGCGTGAGCGCGCTCTGAAGCCGGGGCTGCGGCTGGGGGGAGGGCCCAGAGCGCCACACAGATGAGTGTTGACTCAGTGGCTTCCGAGCATCTCCAGGCAGTATCTGTCTCCCCGTTGTGCACCACTACCTGGACGTTTGTGATAAGCTGAAGGCCTGTTTAGGCTGAAATCCTGGCAACGCACGATAAGGAATATCCATATTCCACACAGCGTTTTGTTTAGCTCCTGCTCTGAGATTTATCACGCTGCTTTGAGCTAAAAGAGATAGCAAATGGAGATTGGTCTTTGTTTCAGATGTGTTTGTTGTAAAGGGCAACACAGCATTTTGGAGCCATAACTCTTTACTATTTATAGTTTTTGGTGAAATCGCTGAAAGGAATCTAAACCACCTTTATCAGACCTAAAGCAGAAATGGGGAATATTTTTAAACACATTACAAAGTTCTGAAAATACTCCTGATTCTTGGACCCTTTTTTTCTACATTTTGAAATCACAAACTTACATATATTTTTACATTTTACATAATAGAACAACATGATTGCAAACTTTTCTTTTTACAAATAAAAATGTTAAGATTGCAGCATGTATGGGACCATCATCTTGTGGGACTACTCTGGGTGTGCTGCTTTGTGCTCGTCTGATACATGTAATCCTGATAAAATACTTATTTGTAGTTATAGAACAAGTTCAGTGTGTACAAAATCTGAGATTACACTGTAAAACAAAAGTATTGTGTCTTCGCGCATTTAAATGCTTCGTTTTTAACTCTTCTCCTCTGTTTTCCAGTTACTACCTGTACACATACGATAAGATGGTGGCTCCCAATGTTTCTCTGAGGACGGAGGCGGAGATGAGCCCTGAGGTGTTCGGCGTCCTGCTCAAGCATCACTTCAGCCGCAGGATGCTGGGCCACGAAGAGCCACCAATGGGTCAGTAGGAAATGGAGCGAACTGTGAACTTACCTGCACAAAAATCCACTTTTTGTTTGAAAGTATTTTACTGGGGACAAGAAGAAGAACATCTACACACTTTATGTCGCTTTCTTCTGCAGAGACATGGTGAAATAAACTCAAGGTTTGCAAAAAAATAAATAAATAAATGTTAGTGATAAAATGAAGGTAGTCTGAAATCTGAAAAATGCAGACTAATCAAAATAAAATATCAACTATGGCACAAAATAGTTGCAGTTTTAATTTTCTTAAACAATAATTCCACAATATTTAATTTTGAATGTATAATATATACTTTTTCTTCAAGTTAAAAATAGTTATTGTGAGTAAAACTTTCATTTATTAAAGTTGAGGGAAATTAAAGGTTGATTATTTCAGTTGCTGCAATGAAAGATTGAAGTTTATTTTAAGTCTTTTTACACATCTCTATCACAGGTGTTTGTATGGAGGGTATTTTAGTTGAAAACGCCCCAACATTTTTTTTTAGATCAGAAAAAATAACTTACAGATATGGAACTCAAATAAATGTTGAATGAATATACCATATGTTCAAATCTATAATCAGTTGGCTCAAATGATAGTTATGAAGCTAATAAGCTGATGAAAACTCTTAATACAGAGTACATTTATTTTAATAGCAGTTAGCAAATACAACAAAGAAACACAGAAGATTCATGAAAATTAATTTGATCCAATTTAATGATAATTTCCAAACGCAGTTTTTTTTTTTTACCCCGTTAAATAAATCTTTCATATCTAATTAGAACACCTTTGCACGCCTATTGGACACAGTCTGATGTGTGTCTGCTATAAATATGTGACATCAATACAGCGAAGCAGCAGCTGTTTGCATGCAGCATAAGCATAAATGACAGGCGTATCAAGTTCACGCAGCTCACTCTGAGCTGACACATGCTCAGTAGCAACTTCCAGCACCGAAAACTCTGCAGCTACAGAGTCGCTCATTGACCTTCGGATAACAACACTTGCGGGCTGCCGCACGTCTGACGCGCCGGTGACCTCCTCTTTCACGCCGTGCGTTCACATATACATAAAAAAAAAAAAAAGGATGAATCAGATGAACGGTTTCAGTCTGTCGTTATTAACGCGCCGTCTGATTGCCAGCCTGCATGTTTCTCTCTTTCTCTTTCCGCTCTCCAACCAATCTGTCCTCCTTCTCTCCATCTCTCTGTCTCTCTCTGTTTTCCTGGCAGCCGGCAACGCAACCTCTCTGAGCCGACTCTCCGTCTGTTCCCATACTTCTCTTCTTCCGTCCATCCATCCATCATTGTCTCTTTCCTCTCTGGCTTCCTTCATCTCTCAGTCTGCTGTCAAATCCTCCGCCCACTCCTCTCAGAGTGAGCTTTTCCTCCTTCCTCCCTGCCTTTTTCCAGACCAATCTGGATTTTTTCTCCTTTAAGACGCTGTAGAAAGTAGGCCGTGAACTGCCGTAGTGCAGCGTTTCCCTTCCTCTTTACCAAACTGCTGGTTTGAATAGAGGATCTAATATTAGCTCTGTGGCTTTGAATCAATTTGAATAATGATTTGTGCCAGAGATTAGCATCCAACCGACCGTTTCCCATGATGCACACCCCTTAAAGACCACAGTCAGGGGAACAAGCCGGAGTTTTAAAAAAACAAGGAGATGCAGCGGAGCATCTCACCTACACAGCTCACCTTTATTCCTGTTTCTGTGTCTGAGGGCAAACACAAACAGAAATTGTGGGCGAGTGTTTGGTTCCTCGGAAGAAGTGCGATGTTTTATGAGGTTGTGTGAGGGTGTTACTAACCGTGTGCACACCAACACGACTCACACTTCTTCTTGTCTTTCAACCACTTCCTCTGCTTTTCTTTTGATCTTCTCCCTTCCCGTCCTCACTCTCTTCTCTTTCTTGCCTTCCTCAGATCTCCACGCGTCGCCTCCTGTCACAGCCGGCGCCGAGGAGGCCAAATCCCAGAGCGCGGCGGCTGCTGCCTTGGCCACTGAGCGGGAAAGCCAAACCCAGGCAGTTTCCATGGAGACGAGCAGCCCGTGCTGCAAGAAAGCCACCCACATCCCCTCCCACACTCCTCCTCCGGCATCTCTTCCTCGGTCTGCGTCGATGCTGTCGTCGGAAACGGAAGCGGCGTCAAAGGACATGAGCGCCGCCGTTGCTGCGCCGTTAGCGGCGGCGGTGGGGGTTGTGGAGGACGACAAGGACAGGATTGTTGTGGAGATTATGCAGATGTACAGCACGCAGCAGGAGAAGCTCAACTCCACCCTGCAGAAACAGCTGCAGCTGGAAATGGTGAGTTGGTGGATGGAAACAGAAATGAGTTGCAGATAAACCCGACTAGAACCGTTGTTTCAAAAGGCGTCGTTGACGTTGAGATGACGCCAACCCAACCTCCACCCCGCCTTCTCTCCATTCCAACACTTGCATTAGGAAATATTTTTCTATTTATGCCCGCTAATTTCCCATTCAATTTTTTTATACAAAATTTTCCATACGTTGCAGAATTATACATTGATATTCCCTGAACTTTTTAAAGTCACAGCAACAAACTTCAATGTGTTTTCTATATATAGATCAGTGGTCTGAAACCTTACCATGTCCAGAAACATAAATCTCATTCAGAGCCACAAATGTTACTTAATCTATTGAGAAGAGACAAATTTAAAAATTTTCAATAAAAATCTACTATAGGAACATTGTGGCCACATTTAAAGAACCACCATTTTAATTCTGCTTTTAGATTTTAAAATAAAGACTAACATTTATATGAAGAGGATTGATACATTTTCTTTTAAAGGAAGAAGGTTGATGTTTGTGGAAAAGGATGTAAATAAAAAAAAAATTACAACACAATGATGAGGAAAATCTAAATAATCGTACTGATAATTCTGTCATTTTGTTTTGGAAATTTAATGCAGTATTAATTCCAACAGCTAAAATCTGCACTTTATTTCTATAGTTTTAGCTAAATTATTAAGAGTCATTGTTGAAAGTCCAAATAGCCATTTACGGCTCCAGTCCCGCAGGTTGCAGACTTTTGAGATAGTTCAACACAAAGTACATTGTACAGTGTAAAAATCTTAAAAGTGTGGGTGTGCATTTGCACTTAGCATGTATTCAATGTCGTCGACCAGAACTACTTTTCTTGCTGTGTTTAGCTCAATCTCTGGCCATCTTCCCATCAAGCAGTTTTGTTTTCCTTCTTGAAGAAAAGCATCCCACAGTATAATGCTGCCACCACCATGCTTCACAACAGATGATAGAATATCATTACACAATATTGTCCATTTTTCACCACAAATAGTTTGATTTTGCTCTGACCAAATATTTTCTTGCACATGTCTGCTAAACAACTTTAAACAAGAATTATGGTGCAAGACTAATAATCATTATACTAATAGACTCTCCCACATGAGCTGAGGATCTATGCAGTTCCTGCAGAGTAATCTTAGGCCTTTCAGTGATTTGTTAGATTAATCCTCTCCCTATTCAGTCTATTTGTTAGTTTAGTTTTTCAGTTTCTGTATGACAGATTAACCGTTATTTAAAACATAAGATATAACTCTCCTAGGAGAGTGTAATTGTCACTAATGTTCTCTGATTAACCTCTGAGGGTTACACAAAGCAGCTGCATTTACTCTGAGACGTCAGACTTGAATTATTTTGGCACATCAGAGTAAAAGTGGACAAAATAATCCTATTTTATCTGCAGAAATGATTGAAACCTATGTGCAAATACAAGTCATAGGTTGCGAACACAGTTTGGGATTCTGTCAGGTTTTGGGCAGCGGTGGAAGCACGAAGTCTAACCTCCCTGAGAAGAAGCTGTATTGCAAAGTGTTTCTCCTGCACGCTCAGTGTACGGGATCATTATTATCACCATTACTCAGATCGTTCTTGTGTTGGATTCTGTGCGTCCAGGAGCTGGAGGCGTTGCGTGGGGGTGAGGCGGCGAGGCTACGAGAGCTGAGCGCGGAGCAGCGGGAGCTCCGCAGCGAGCTGGAGGCGGTGCACAGCGAGCAGGCGCGGCGGCTCGGACAGGCCCGGCAGGAGCAGCTGGAGCTGGAGAGCCGCCTGGAGCAACTCCGGCAGCAGGCCTGCGCCTGCGAACCCGGGGCCCAGCGGCAGCAGGAGGCCCACTACACCGCTCAGGTAGGAGTTCCAAATTATTATGCAAGTGATATTTTCTCAGATTTTCTTATATGATCAATGCAAATGATGGTCAATATAATTTTCAAGTCATGAAGTATTACAGTAAATATCACATTTTAATGAACAAGCTCCCCATGAGAACAGTATTTTTTTTAAATAAAAAACTTTTTTAACAGCTGCTCTCTTAATCTAATGCATTTGTCTAACAGAAATCTTTCTCATTATGTCTTTATCTGTACAAACCCATCTTTGCTCTGGATCAGCCACAAATCTCTTCACAGTACAATGACAATACTTTAGTTTTTGTTAAATATCTAATGTTCTCATATCTTGTCATACGGCACTACAATGTCTGATGATTTTCGCCGACAGAGAGATCCTTTCTCTTTCTCATATTGCTTCAAACCTGTGGCCTGCTTAATAATGTGGAACATCCTTCTTCAGTAGATTTTCTTTAATTGAACTCATCAGACAAACTAATCAACCCAGATCTCTGAAATTAATTATAGTGATTCAAAGAGCCCTGACACACAATACCATCTATAAATTTAATAGCACAACAAAAAATGTAATCTTTATGACACTTAAATCCGATTTGCATTATAATTTGGAACACAGTGTAAACGCATCACCAGTTCAAAGTCACGCTGAATTACAGCAATATAAAACTTTGTTTTATGGGCCATTTTTACATCAAAAACTTTTTCTTTTCTTTTTTTTCACTCTTTCTTCTGTAGATATGCTAGATATTTGAAATGTTTGTCCGGTATTATTTGAACTCTGAGTTTTGTGTAAGAATGTAAAAACACTCTTAGAGGATGTTGTTTGGGTTTCCAGGAGATTAAACCTGGAGACAGACTGAGTTATGTTGGCCTGAGCTCAGCTCTGCAGTTTCACATCCAGCCTCACCAACACAGCTTTTGACTCCACTTCTCAGCAGATTCTTGAAAATTTCCTAACTTTATCTCTTTATCTTAGCTGCTCTAGAAAGAAATGAAGTCTGTGGACAGACATGCAGCATTAGTCTTGTTTACCACAAAGATACTTTATAAACAGAATTACATCACTGTCCATTTATGAGCTGTGAAATATGAGCGCTAATGGTAAACAGTCCCAGTTGCTTCACCCTGAATATGAATGTGGCTTAACAGTGAAAGTGCAGCTAAAATCTGGATTTCTGCAATATTATGTTACAGATTTCTTACTGTTATAAGGATCTAAAGCCATGTTTTGTGGATGTTTTACCTCATTTGGCCTTAATTAAGTTCTGCAGAAATCTTGAAAAAAATAAAAGAAATGTAAATCATGTCTTTCCATTATTAGTTTGATGATTTACACGTCTTTAATCAATTTGCATGTTGAGGGGATAAATCGGCTCTATTAGACACCCGTCAGCTCCTTTTTCCTCTAATAGTAATTGATTTACGGTTTAGTTCGTTTTGTCTTCAAACATTATATTTGCATTTGAAACTAGACCAAAAAATGTTTGGTAACATTTTGTGTAAATGTTGAGCAGGGGTTTTTCTGCCATGCTTGATCCTAACCCGACCTCTTTCTCCGTCTCCTCCCAGTTGTCAGAGCTGCGGCAGAGGCTGGAGAGGGCCGAGGCCGACCGGCAGGAGCTGCAGGAGGAGCTTCACAGGGAGCGGGAGGCGCGGGAGAAGCTGGAGCACACCATTGCCCAGCTCAAGCAGCAGATGGCCCAGTCTGGCATGATGGGAGGCAGCCCCTCTCCCCCTCTCACTCCTTCCACTGGACCCCTGAACGCCCACTCCCCACCCTGCTCTTCCTCCATTGCTGAGGCCACTGTGGCCGGCCTGAAGTAACTGCGACATTTTCTTCCCGTCACTCGCCAACTCTACAGACACAAAACAATTCAGCCTGACCCATCGCAGGCTCCCCTTCTGATCCCTGTTTTTAAAATATACAACATGACAAAATTTATGTTTTGGGTTTTTTTTGTTTTTTTTTTAACTCACACACATATATATATATATATATCTCCAGTCCTCTCTTTAAACAGTATTTAAAGACTTTTTGGGCATGTATGTTTGATTTAATTTATAGTTTTTAATAAACTAACTGCTGCTTTAGAGACAGGAAGTTCCATCACTATCCTTCCCCGCCTGGATCGTCGTCCTTCCTGCTCCCTGGTTCGTGAACACTCTGGATTTTGGACTCCACTGTTCCTCGCTGGTGACACTTTATGCTACTACCTGGCACAGCCGCCAGTACCTACAGACTTTGTAAACATGAAGCTCAGATTCTGAAGAATCAGCGAGTGGAGGAGTTTAAAATGACATATCTCTCTCTATATATATATACTATATATATATATATAAAATATATATTTTCTTTTGGACTCCTTATAAACACAAATAAATATAATCATGTTAAAATATTAAGTCTTTATGGAGGAAAAAAGACCTTTACTGTACAATAGCAGACATTTGTCATTTGCAGATGTTGTAGGACCTCATGAAAATATGTCAGTAATGATGTTGAAGTGACTGAGTGTGACCTCTCCCCAAAGTCCCTCTACACTTCTTGTACTTAGCTATGAAATACTACAGCCTGGAGGGCAGATTGGTTTCCTCTTCATTGGACCAGCCAGCTGCTGGTCCGCGGGTCATTCAGACATCGAACTATGCTGGGTTTTTCAAACATTCCCTTTTCAAAACTGCACAGATTTCTCCGTCATTTGTTTCCTCTGGTTCAAATCCCTTCATGACACCAAAACAAGCTGGAGAGTGATCAGAATGAACAAAAGCGTTACCCCTCCACACTGGTAGACAAGGCTACAACTTTTCAACCGACTAGCCTGGATCTCTTGGGTAGAATTTCAAAAGAGCCAATCAGCGAACAGAAGGAGACGATGACGTCGACTTTCTGCGATGGTTTGGTAGCCTGCCTTTAGCTTTAGCAATGACAGCGGAGGAAGTGAACGTAGCCTTTTTGTCCATGTCGGCCACACTTCCACGTATTGAATCTTCCTCTCTCTTTGCAGTGGAGGATGGTTGTTTACAGCGCAGGTAATTTCCGCAAAGCGTTATTGCGTCAAATTTGGGTACAATTTAAAACTTCAGCAGAGCCTAGCCCTCCAGCTAGCAATCGGTTGAAAATGACCAACGGTCCAGACGCTGTGTACTGGCTTTTGGTTTTACAGAACTTAAAGTCATCCTCTGACGCATTAACTAGATATTTTAAAGCTTTTTATTCAACAGTGAGCCTACGAATAGCAGAATGACTGCAGCTACTAAACTTAGCAAGTGTTTATTCTAGATTGTTCCTCAAATCTATGCAATAAAACCAACATAACAGTAAATACATCTTATAAATTATATAGTTTGCCAGTTTTTTAAAAATATTGATTTAAAAAAATGATAATAATCTTCAAATCACCACACCCAGCCAGGAAATTCGTTAAAAAGGAATTAAAGTTGCATTTCTCATTTAATTTAACACTTATTTGAAAAAGTGTTAAAATATTTTAAATCACTATTTAAAACCTTCAACCTGCGGTATTTTTCCTCGCTCTTTCTCACACTCTGATCTCACGCCGGTAGTTTGGACGCAGGAGGGTTTTTTTTTTTTTTTTTTTCTGCGTTACCTGAAAGAACCCGCAACGTGTCCGCACACACCGGAGCGTGTCGGTGCCTCGCAGCCGTCCGTGCGGAACGGTGGCTCCTCAGTTCCCCAGCAGATGATGAAAGCCGCAGGCCGTCACGGCTCTCCCAGCCCCTCTCTTCACTGGCAGCCATTCTTGCCGTCTTAAGAATGCGGGTCGCAGGTGAAAGCTGCCGGTTCGCCGGGAGTTTCGGGTTCTGTTCGCACTTGTTCACGAACAGCGTGAAGCGGTGGACATTGAGCGCCGAGGCTCGCTGGGGCCCCTCTGGTGGGATGACCCACATCCAGATCCGAACCCATCAGGACCAGGCTGAAGCGTTTTTTATCGCCACTATAAAAGAACAGAACAAATCCCTATGAGCGTCTATGCGAGTGCGTGCGTGTGTAAATAACTGTAACGGAATAGTCCTCGGTTAAAAAAACAAACAAAAAAATAAAAATACTGAGCTTCTTTTTTATGCATCTGCTATTAATGCAAATTGATAAGACATTCCACTGTGCTCCATCCTGTTCGATGCAGATTTTCTTACACAGCCTCCCTTTACAGAGACCGACCGGAAGGAGCGGACAGAGAGAAGGCGGAACAAATGTACACTCTACTGTTGTTGCATTGAAAACATTAAGATGGTGAAAGAAAAATGTTTAACATATAAGCGAAAGATTTATATTCACTTTGTAAATAAGGTAGTCATTAATATATTAACTGTTCTTATATAAATAATCTATAAAAGGTTATATGATTTGGACCACAGCTGAGGCTGGAGTGGGCCTAATTGTTTTTCCTTTCTTTTATTTAAAAAAAAAAAGAGAAAAAGATAAAGGACTCTTCTAGAGTGGGGAATGAAGTGCATGGTTTACTCAGACATCAACTATAAAACTGAAAAAAAAAAAAAAAACTTTGTTACACATTTTTACTCCACTTTCAGAACCGACGCTGTTGTTTATGGATTTTATCATGACAGATTTTGTTTTTGCTATTTGAACATTCTTCCTTAATCTAAATCAGAAATTTGTTCAAGAAGACATTTTGGAGAAAAAAAAAACAAAAAGAAGAAAAAATTTTTTTTGCATGTTTTGCTGCCCTTCCAGTTTTTGTCGCCAAGTTTCAATCTGTTTATTGTTAGAAAAAAAAAGATTTCCCTCCTCAGATTTTTAAAAAGGCTCATGTGCATGAATTATTGAACATGTGCAAATTTTTATCTCCCTTGTGGTTGAGAGGCTGGCCAGGACATGAAGTCACATGTCCTGGTGTCCAGTATGATCATGAAGATTGTAGACTGTAGAATAATTTGGTCTGACTATTTTTTCCCTCATATTGAAATCATGTGAAATCATCTGATTGCCATCAGATTCTAATCAGTATTACTTTTATTCTCCTGTTTGCTTTTGCAGCAAAAAAATTCACCCAAGATGTTTTCTTTTCTACTGTAAGAGAAGTTTGCATTGTAACCACAAGCGGGCGCTGTTTAGTCTTTTTAAGTGTGCATCTATTACTAACCAGTAGGATGAAAAAAATTCCTTTTAAGATGGCATGCTGGGCCTTTCTTTGGCTTTTTGCAGCGCTTTGAGAGCTTAGATGTGTTTTGTACAGTTGTGAATTTTGCCAAACTGATAAAAATGAAAAGATGGAGCCTGGAAAATGACTGCAGGAGGCTCAGATTGACAGTCGAAGGTGGAATTTACGCAAAAATAAACCTAAATCTGTTACTTTCCTATCAGTGCTGTTTGAAAACATGAAACGCAGTGTCTGTGTGTGTGACCATTGCATACTACGTTGCCAATACTACAGTGTGATGAGACTTTTTTGTTCTTGCATGAATTAGAGACACTGTTCTCCTACCTCATGTTGTGATATAAGATGTTTTTTAAAGCAGAGGACACTGCATCTCTAACTGTTGAGCATCATTATTAAATGACATACCTGTAAATGCTTTTAGCCGATACCACGGTTGTATTTAGTGTTTTTGTTTTGTTTTGTTTTTATTTCTGAATCCCCCCCCCCCCTCTTTCTTCCTTGATTTCAGAATTTGTAAATAAATCCTGTATAGACGATGAACTTGGATCAAATTCAAGTAAAGTTCTGTAGTGTCAAAACGAGCGTTGTCTTTGGTTTCTTTCATTTTCATTTTAATCAGACAGAATGCCAGTCCAGGTTTAGCTTGTATAGAGGAAAAACAGAAAACACAAAATTAAAAGTTGAAAAAACAGAAAATAATTCAAATCGGAGAGTCGTAGAAGAAGAAAAGTGAGGAAAAGTGGTAAGCCTCGTGCAATGTGGTTGAAGAAAACCTAATTCCTTATGTGTGTCAAACTCAAGGCCCTCCATAGTGGAACCTTTTAAATTATTTTTTAAAAATATTTTATCCATCTAATCATTTTTTTATCTTTATACTATCAAATTACATTAATGTGAGAAGATTTTATTTAAAAAGGTACTTATCTATTTTATAGGACAAATTTAACATTTTGATTTCAGCTTTCCTTCCTCCATCTCAAGTCCTGGGTTTTGTCTTGTGCATCCAGGCTAAAATTAACTAAAACCTCTTCTCACAGAAGCTGTCTGTCTGCAGAAATGCTGCCAAGCCCTGCAGTCGCTGCAAGGCCTGACAGACTGCACATAAAACAATCTCTACCAGGAGGCTGTTGACAAAGCAGAGCCAGGCAACGTTCAGGTCCAGGTATTCACACCGGGAGAATGAGAAGTGGGGCCAAGAAAATCAGGAAAAATGTCATTGGAAAACAGTATGTTGAGCTGAACTTCCTTTAGGCAATAGTGGGGTTTTTTTCTTGTTCAGTCGCTGCGTTTCTATTACAAACGTGTGCAGAACTTTGTCAGTGTCCTGTTAATGTCAAACAATAATATTAAATAAGACACAAAACCACAAGTTAATAAGTCTGCTTATGCTACAGCCCTCAAAAAAACCATGCTGCACCACAGTTCTCCAACTACTTCCTGTCATATTCTTGTTCGTGATTTGCGCTTGTGTTAACATCTGGTTTTTGAACAGAAAAAAAAGTTTCCGTTGCAGTTTTGTGAAATAAAGAAACTAACTTCGATTCAGCAACAAACAAACAACAACAACAAAAAAACATCATTTTACTGGAAAAACAAGTTGTTTTTTTTGTGGAAATTGGCAAATTTCCATTAAGCTAATTTATTTTCAAAATGTCAAATTGCACAATCATATGGTTAATGAAAGCACATCTACTGACAATGCAAAGTGGAATGATGCTTCTTAAACGTAGTGCTTTATTTTGAACGTCATATAGCAAAAGGACCTGTATTTCAGCAGCTCTCGTGTCCTGGGAGACGCATCCAATACAGTTTCTTTCACTGCGAACATTTGGTTTGTGAAAAACACTCATTGGGTAACAGTTTTAAACATCTCAAACATACATCTTTCTGATTCTTAAAAAATTAAGCTAAGCTTTAAGTCATAGCTTAGCTTAAAGTATTTGAAGTTGAGTTTCTGATCATGAATCTTTAAGAATGGCCTAAGTTGGACTCCAAGCTATATCTTGGATCAAATCGAGACAATCTTAAATTATACATTTTCATTAATTAGATAGATATAGGTTAAGCGTGCACTGGCTTCAGCCTATTGCGAGCCCTTTCTTCATTTGTGTGTTTAAGTAGAAAACTCCATGCCTCTGGTTATTTTCAATGTTAAGTATTTTGTAATTGTTCATATTTTTGTCTATTATGTATTATTTATTGCATGTCTATGGATGCTGTTTGTTTGTTTTTTCTTACTTTTTTCTTTATTGTTGAAAAATAAAATTAAATCCAACCCAGCATAAATCCAGAAACTTCTGTTTATCTTTAGGAGTAAATAAGCGTTAACCTACAGCCTGCAATACCCACAATGGCCCCTGGTGGGTTGTTTAGTATAAAACCAAGTCCATTAGTTACAAGTCAGTAAAGTCTGGATTCTAACAATGATGTTATAACGTAAAATAAGAAATATAAGATATTAAATTGTCTCTCTCTGAATGTTTTTATATATTTTTAATCTGTAAAATAGAGCTGATCAGATCTTTCTAGATTAAATGCTTGTACTTTTTCAAACAAATACAAAAATACAAAATACAGCTGCATCCTGTGGCTTCATTGCTATTTAAAATAGCTCTAAGCTGACACAAAACTAAAAACTCATGTGCAAACCAATTACTCACTCAGAAACCATGACCCATAGTCAATCACAAAAATTTAAATGCTGTAGTGAGAGTGTAGGGAAAAAAATTAAGTGTATTTTTTAAAGCCCTTTATAAGAATAGGCAATTTACTTATTTAAATAATATTTTTTTATGTAGTTACTAGGAATGTACTTATTTTAAATCTTGATTGAATTTGCTCTAGCACTGCAGTAAGTGTTCATAGCTGCTTATGGACACTGATAATATCAAACAACAAGGGTTTTCTATTAATTTTACCTTATTGAAACTTGACATTTTACAATGTTTTTCAGAAATACTTGGAAATGTGGATTTCCAGCATCATCTTCACACCCTTTAGAGCTTTTAAGATGTCTTTAAAAGAAAAGAAAAAAAAATCAAACAGATCATTACACATGATGAACTCATCACAGCTTGGCATTTTGTGGGAGTTTGCCATTTTCAAGCCTCAAACATTCAGCTTGGTGTGTTACTGACTGCTGAAATTAGAGTGAACACTAGGGGAAGATCAAAAGAAGACTGTTATTACATTTTATTTATGCATTACACAGAATAATGTTAGTCATTGTGTACAAAATACACATGATGCACTTGTTTTCCAATAATTACTCTGTTAGCTGTAGATGACACACAATTAACCTTTAAAAAACGGATCTACTCCTTTTTACAATCCGCTGCATTGCAAATTTTTTTATTTTATGTTATTTTTGGGCAAAAGAACATGCAGTTTCTTCTCGTACTGATTCCAGTTTCTGTAATTCTGCGTGTAGTTCTGAGTGTGACCAGCTGGGGCAAACATGGCGCTGTAATGCGTAGTGGTCACCCGCAATAGCTTCCTGTGACGTCAGCTCGCTCCTGCTCTGTAATGTTTTATTTTTTTTAATGTCTCTTCTTTAAATATAATGTCGTCATTTTCTGAATGTATCCTTGCCTTTCGTGTCCCTGGGTCGACATGAGCTTTGTTTAGTCGTCTGTGGAAAAGTAAAGCGTCACTTCGTTCAGATTTGCGGCGTTTTCTGACGGCTAGCTAGCTGAGCTATTGCTAGGTAACGTTATCTGTCAATGGTTTGTGAGTGACATCAGCTAATCCGGGTGCTACAGTCATTACTGGAGTGTGGTACTTTACACAACAAGGCTGTCTGACTCAAACTGTGACACAAGTACCTTCAGTTTGTCTGGTTAGACTATAAATACACCTGCCTAATATTTGATCTGAAACGTTTAAGTTGGTAATAATATGTGAAATGATTGGTGTGGGGTTTTTCCATGAATGGGATTTATGTTTCATGTTTGCTGCGTACAGATTTATTTAATTTTTTATGTTCTTTTTGGTCACACTTTAAGGTTTCAGATGATTGACTAATTTTAATACCACACAAAGGAAATTTAGGTTTAAAATGTTGATTTCTTTTCTCAAAAGTAAAATCCTATCCAAACCCTGATCCTAAGTAATAAAGTAGTTTCTCACTAAACCTAAAATCTGCTACCTGTTTTACAACCAACCTTAGAGAAATATGGTGCACCAGATTTTTATTTATTTATTTTGTTGCATAATTGTTTTAATTAATCTCAAAAATACTTTATTTGGTCAAAAGGGAACTTAAATGTCTTCCTAACTCATATCTTCAAGTATCTTCAAAGAGTTGTTGAGGAAGGTTGTGGAGAAGAATCTCCAGTTGCAGGCTGTCTTGCAACTCTTGCAAACTGCCTCTAACTGAAGACTGTTAATGTAGAGTTCAATACTGAGGCAGCAGAAACGGTACTCCACAGTAACATGTCCTGGATGACACCATAAGGGGTTGGCAAGCACTGTTAATCCAGTTCATTCGCTTTTGTTTGTCTTTACTTCAGATTTAATGAGCTGCTGAGCCGTCCGGTTGGCTAAATTACAAAAAAGTCATTTTTGGGAAGAATTACTGTAAGAATTGGTCTGCGGTGTTTTTAACCTTGACATATTTTTGTTTACCTTGTTTCTTTTTTGTTGTTGAGTCAGGTTTTATCACCCTGACCTTATTGGAGGTAAGTGAGGTCTGCAGTGCTTTAGATGTTGTTTAGGGTTCTTTGAGATCATTTAAGACAAATTTTTGGTAGAGTGATCAAAAATTTATTGTTATTGGTGGCTCTTACTGTAGTTCATTTGAGTCACAAAGACATCAAATGGTTTTATAACCCTTTCCAGGCAGTGCATTAGGACCATTGTACATAGAAATAAGACAAAAGGAGTAAATGTCTGCCAAAAAACAAATTTTGAGAATAATCTCAGAAAATTTCTGGAAAAAAACTTTGAAATTTCTGAGTTTTCAAATTCAGAAATCCTCCCCCAAAAAATCTGTAGAAAATGTCTTAAATTAATTAAAAAAGAATTCTGTTTTATGGCAAAAAATTTTTTACCCCCCCCCCTTTTTTTTTTTTGCAGTGCCCCTAATATGGCGCTGTAGATATATGTAGATATATTATTTTCTGCATAAGACCTGGTGTCTGTAGCTTTTCTCCCTTAATCTTAAGAGATTAAATAATTATTCCAAAGCGCTCTTTGTTTTTCAGGATGGAGAACTCAGAGGCCGGTCTGTCATCGAGGTCTCTTCCGGCGTTGGACCGGAGCGTGTCGAGATCCTCCGGCTGTCCTGATCAGCAGCCGGACTCGACCAGGTCATCGAAGCACAGGGACCAAACGTCCAGGTCACCTAGGAGACGGAAGGAGGGGAAGAGGTCACAGCAGCGGGTGGATGATCACGAGCAGCGGCTGTGGGAGATGGAGCGGCGGAGGTTGCCAGGCCAACACGAGCACTTGGAGCCCGCCGGTTCATTGTGCGGCGCAGCAGAAAGCTCTCCAAAGAGGTCTGTGCTCCAGGTGGCTCGGTTTCTTCTGCTCCAAAAATGAGGTGATGTTAAGCTCCTCCTTTTTTTAATCCTCCTCCTCACAGAAGAGCTCACTTTCTGCATGGACCGTATCCAGCCACTCACTTTGGACCCAAAGCCTGCATTCTCCCCAACCCAACTTCAGTCATGTAAGCAAGAAGCTGCGTAATAAGCTGAACTTTGTGTACACTGACTGCTTGTTAGAGCAATGGCTCAGAGAAGTTTGTGCAACTGAGTTAGATAAGAGAAAGTAAGATTGTGATTGGCTCGTTTTAAAGCAGTCTGGTTAACTTTACTGTCAGCTGTTCTGAAATTATTTGGGTCTGAACACACACAGGTGGAATAATCTTTACAATGCCTGCTGTTTCCCACACAAAGAAGAGGAAAGACAAATGGTAAAGGAAGGAGAGGACATTTTTATTGTTATATTTGGAATTTGACCCCGATCCTCTGCTGTAGCTAAGAGTCACAGCAGTTAATGAACAACTTTACTGCTCAGAAATGTGGAATAATCTTTATTTAATTCAGAAAATATGGTATGTGTGGAACATTTGCTCTGGTAGTTTCTATTTTCCTGTTTGTATCTTGTTGCTGACAAAGGGAGTTGCGCTGTATATTTCTGTGTTTGTTTCCTTGTGTGTGTGTAATATTTTCCCTACGTGTCCCAGGCACATCCAGGACCCGGTAAGTCAGAGGCTCACCTGGAACAAAGCTCCCGTCAACGTGCTCGTCATCAGGAAGATCAGGGACGAGAGTCTGGTCGAGCCTTTCAAAGAGCTCTGCAGGTTTCTAGTAGAGGTACGAGACTAATGTGTGATCAAACACGCAGCGGTTAACTCAAGTACTGTATAAACATGCAGAACTCTGAAGAATATTCGCTCACTTTGCTCTTATGTTGCAAAAACAGGTTTTAATGTTTTTGAATGGTGGATCTAATGCCATAGAGTGACATTGTGAAATGGAAGTAAGAAATTATAATGTGCTTTGCATTTTTATTTCTGCGTTTCTCTTCTATTTCACAATTGTACACTATTTTGTGTTGGATTACCACAGGAGTCAGCAATATTTTCCATTCAAACAGCCATTTTTCCCTCAGCTGCAACAAAATAAAACCTTCTTAAAACCACAAAAACTGATTTTCTAAATATGTACTGCACACAATGTTTTACTTAGAAAAACTAACAAAATTAAACTAAAATGTATTTCTATTTACAAATATTAAAACAAAATTAATCTGCTATTACAAGAGGGAAAAACAATTTTATATATGAAAAATTCAGAAAAAATGTTGAACTTTTAAAAGACTGTTGTAGATATTGTATGCAGATTTTGCATAAAAACATCTAAAATTACCATCTCTAATTGCATCCATAATCACAAACTTTTCTTTTTGTAAGTGCCACAGATTTTACATAAAATCCAGAAAGAAACAAAATGCAGTGCATACAGTAGTGTTTTCTGCTTTCATATTCTATGTAAACCAAACCATTTGCACATTAATAAAACATTTCCTATTAAAATCTGGTGCAATTTAATAAAAGAAGTAAATGTAAGACATCTACACCAATATTTGCTTTATAAAAATGCAGAATGGATTTCCTAAGCCCTTACATGCATGTTGTACACACAACAAAGGCACAACATATTAATTGTGTTGAAATGAGACAAGATGAAGGAGCTTGTTTTAAGAAAAAAAAAATCCTTAAATTTGATTTTTAAAAAGTGCTAGATCCACTGGCAGATTATTTCACTTATAATATAGTAAAAATGTTTTGTTAAAAGTGAAACTGTAACGTTTTCGTCAATATTAAGGAATTATTGACTTAAAACAAGCTCCTGTATCTCTGAAATTTTACTTGCAAGTTAGTTTTGTCTTATTTCAAGTGTACAAAGACATTTGCAGTTAAAAATAGACAAAATACTTTTTTATGCACCATGGTGGGGTACTTTGTACAAGCTTTTTGAAGCGCCACCTTAATATTTGAAGGTGATTACTTTATCACTTTTATCTGGACAGAATCTTCTGTTCCTTCTCTCTGCCAAGCGCAGAAGGTTAAACCTCTTCGCCTCCCCTGAACATGAGTTCCTGTGGTGCCAAAGAGCAGCAGGTGCCAAAGAGCAGCAGGTCTAACCACCATCAATCCAGGAAATGTTTCAGACAAACAGAGGAACGCTCCAGTCTGGTCTCCTGCAGCTGCAACGTATTTTAACCACATGTTTGTAAAACCAGACGTTCAGAGCCGACCTGCAGGTCCACATGTTTGTATTTCATCCAAACACCACCATGCTGAGCCGCAAGCAAACGGTGCGCGATTCGGTGTTGTGGCTAACGTGTGTGTTTGTGCTTCAGGAGAAGCAGATGATGGTGTATGTGGAGCGCAGGGTAGCAGACGACGCCACGCTGTCGAAGGACGAGGCCTTCGGCTCCATCCGCAATCAGCTCTGCACCTTCAGAGAGGGTGAGACATCTGCGCGTCTCACAGCAAAGCCATGCAAACTGTCTGTGACGCAACACTGCCATGCAAAACTATCCACTTCAAAGATTTCTGCTGATTATATCTTTGTGCAAATGTAAATATAAATGATGCTGTGTGACATTCAAATCAGGAAACTTACAATAATACTGCTCTTATTTAAATATTTTACAGAATTAGCACATTTAGAAGCACCCCTAAATTAACTTTATGCATGTTTTGTCTTTTTTTATGGTGCTACTGATAAATAATCACCAGTTTGTAGTTTTGTTTATTCTCTGTTTGTGGGGTTGTTTGGTGTTATGAGTTATTAAATAATAGTTCATTCCTTGTAAAAAGGATCTAGTTTCTTCCTGTTTCATCTTAAGTCAGAAATAAAAGTAAACGCATCCTCTTTTTTATTTACATAATTAATTTCTATGTAAGCCAAATACAAACATGAGCTTTTTAAAAGTGGATTTTATTGTAATAATTAACATTACTGGTGAACATGTGAATAATAGTAATTTTATATCAGTAGTAAAGAAGGATTAGATTTCTGAATCTATGGAAGAAAATAAAAAGAGGAAGTTTTGCTTGAGTGTAATTGAAACACACAGTATCATAAATAAGTATTTACACCCCTTGAACTTTTTCTCATTTTGTGACATTAAAACTTAATAACTCATTTTTCCAACTTGGAGGTTGAATACAGTGAAGATGAGTTTGATGTTGTTCCCAAATCCAAAATTCAACATCACAATGACAAGTTTCATTTGTAATGTTTGTGACTTCAGGTTATGACGATATCTCCGACTGCATCGACCTGATCATTTGTCTGGGTGGCGATGGGACGCTGCTTTATGCCTCTTCTCTCTTTCAGGTACTGATACTTTGATAAAATGAGATGGATGCAAGATATTATTGACTGCTGTAAGAAAAACATGCCGCATTGATGCATATTTATTTCATTAGTTGACAATGTTAAACAAGTTTAAGGAGTTTTTATCTCAGTTTTTGTGAATCAGAAAGTTTTTCTTCAGTCTGCTCAGATTTCTGGATTTAGTTTTTCAGTTTTACCATAATTTTCCTTTAACCTAAAATAACATTCAGGAGACGTTGTTGCAAAAGGAAAGCAGTCTGAAGAAAAGCCAATTAAGTTACAATAAAGGAGATCTTTTCAGAAACCTAATTACTCAGTAATTATGCTATAAAATCACTTTTTCTACATTTTTCTCCTGATCAAATTAACTTTAGGAAACTTATGTTGTTTAAAACTTAGTTTAGCACATCAGAGAATCCACTAATTTTACTTTCTGCATTTTAATTATGTCTCTCAGAAGTTTTGCATGATTCTTGTGCATCACAGATGTGACAGAAAGGTTTTAGTTTAAATTATTTTCACAGCCACTGAATTTGAAGAGATTTTGCTGATATTCTGTACTGCAGACTCTGTTGTTCAGAAAAGTTTTGACGCACACAGATTTCCTGTGTCTTCCTCTCCAGGGCAGCGTCCCGCCGGTGATGGCGTTCCACCTCGGCTCTCTGGGGTTCCTGACTCCCTTCAAGTTTGAGTCGTACAGAACCGAAGTGGCCAAAGTGTTGGAAGGTAAAGCGAAACTATCCGTGAAACTGTAAGCGACCCGTTCAATCAAGACGCACAAATCTGAGGAGCCGGGTGTGTCGTGCTGTGGTCAAAGGGAACGCGGCCATCACTCTGCGCAGCCGGCTGAAGGTGAAGGTGGTGAAGGATATGCTTCAGAGGACGGGGCAGCAGCCGGAGAGCAGAGAGATGGAGCACAACGGCCTCCTTCCTCATGGACACACCAATAGCGAGGCTGGGAAGGTCACCCTGCAGCTACAGGTCAGAGGTCGCTGTTTACATACTGAGCTTGTTCAATGCAATGTTTTTGTTTAATTTTTAATGAGAAAATTAGGATAACATCAATGTTTCTTGGCTTTACATCTCAAAAAGGGAGAATAAGTTGTTTTATTTTTAGCTATGTTGGCACCAACATTGGTGTCGGTTGATATTAGTAATGTTTTAACATATCGGTATCAGTCTGGTAAATAAAAGCATGTTACCATTTGTTTCTGACCATTTTCTTTACAAAAGTGTTGAAAGAATGGGGAAAAAGAAAATGGTAAATATTGGTTATCAGCCATAGCAGGAGTATTAAAATACTATGAAATAATATAAATCTTCATATCGGTGCATCCTTAATTATTATTCGTATTTCTATTACTAAAACTTGATTCTAGTTTTCTAAAAAAATTAAGCAAAATACTTCTTTATGAGTTTATGAGTAACTAATGAACTACGGCTATCACATTAGTAAGTGGTTATTTAGATTAGTGATTATTTAAAAAAAAAAAAAAAAAAGAAAACCAGCACATTCTGCATATTTTTTATTTAACAATTTAATCTTTTTAATACAATATTGCACATATATTAGAAATGCAAATGAACAAATAATTAAATCCCTTTTAAGAAAATTAACATTTCATTACCTAAAATGCAGTACCATGGCTCTCCTTTAGTGGGGAATTGATCATTTGGAGCAAATAATCGTCAGCAGTAAGAACAATGCATCAATATGAACAAAGCTCAGCACTTTCTGCTTTGCTTCACATCAATGCAGTAGAGAGCTGATTTGTTAATTATTTATTTTATTAACTGATGATTAATTAGATAGAAAAAGGTGCTTTATAGGAGAAATGTTTATTTTTTTACAGGATTTGAACCTGGTGAAGATAAAACTATGCCACTTGAAGAGTTCTGGGTGGGACATATTTACAGACAGACATTGAAGTTGCAGTTTGTTGTTGGGATTAACCCACATTTGCAATGCTCTTCTATTTATGCTCTATATTTATTATTTTGCATCTTGGTTACTAAGTTATTTATCAAGTTTGGGAACAAAAGATGGTGAAAGTCCATCCAGCTGGCCAAATATTTTCTCTTCAATCAGAATCTGAATGTATTGTATCTGTAACATAACAGCTTTGGCTTCTCTAATCTGATCTCTGGCTTGAAAAAGGAAGTATGGCGTGTTTTTGTGCAAAGGCTATGTTTTGTACATGAGCCACCTGCTGTGGGAGTGAGTGTTTCCTCCACCCAAATTGATGAATCCAGGACTGAATGTCACATGTTTGATTAGAAAGGCCCATTGTTATTCCTTGTAACTGTGAAAACGTATTCCTTATTTTTCCTCTTGTTTTTTTTCCTTGCCTTCACTTGATCTGGACGAACCAAGTGGCAAAAGAAATGCATCATGTGCATTCTTAAAGAGCCTTGTTCCACAGGTGCTTTGCGTGTTTATTTGTAATTATAATGACTCACCGAGTCCAGCTGCCAGCGGTCCTCCTCCTGTTGCTGTGTTGACCTTCTCTCTCTCTCGCCGCATTTTAAGTCCCTTTAGCTGCTGGAACATCGTCCGCAGATTGTCTGCAGCTTTTTGTGATTTATCTCAGACTGTAAGCTGATCTGTCTCTGCTGCTGCCTAGCAACTAGCAAAACCTTTCCTCCTTATGTTGCTGACTCTTCTGGCAACTTTTTCTAACTAAGGTTGGGTTCTCGCTTACAGAGTCCTGCAGGGAACATGGGGAACATTTTTTCCTTTGCGTTCCCTCGCAAAGGTTTTTCTATGAACATTAATATCTCCTTGTGAAATATCTGAAGTTTTATATCTTTTTCTTTAGGATAGAAAGGCACCACAAACCTATGATGCAAACAGAAACTTTCCGTAAGTAGGAAAGAAATAAAAATACATCCTAATTTGGACTATTTCTGAGTTACTATTGCGGGGTAAGAAGTCATCTGACAGCTTTGATTGTGTCTCTTTTGTGCTGGTTGTGCACACTGTAGCCTGAAGTGACTATAAGATTATAAAATAATATGTTAAAATACTGCGTAGAATAAGTAAAATAAATGTCTAAAAACAACAAAACAAAAAGGTTTTGTACTTTGTAGCCTGACTCATAGTCCAACAGTGTGTAAGTTGTAGTTTATCATCATCATCTACACACTTCTGATTTAAAATGGTATTGCATTTTAATACCAGCTCGACAGGATGGAAATTAATTATTAAGTGCTGACTTGCTATATTCTCAATGGCAATTAAAAAGCTCAAAAGGGATGAAACAGGACCACTATGCTGTTCTCTGTTTAGCCTTTCTGTTATCTGCTAGAAGTCTCGCTCTCATTAAGCCTGAAATGTCCTGACATGTTGCTAAAAACAGCTTTTAAGATGGCTTTGTAGTCCTTTGTGTTTTCATTGAATTAACTCTGAAAATCACTCCATTTGAGCTGATCATCTGTTTAAGCTGCAGACCAATCTGTTCCCAGTCACTCGTGGTTTTCTCTGTGCATATCTAACGACTGAGGATTGATTTAGTGATTGTGCAGCAGTCGACTTTATTGTCGCAGTTCTTTTTACTGCAGAATAAACGCAGAACTTTTCTTTGGATCCAGTAACCTCTGGGTTTCGCTCCTCCGATCCTGCGGTTTCGTGACAAAGCGCTCATGCGACCGCAGGCTGACGGAGCGAGCTGCTGGGATGTCAACGTCGACCTCAGAAGCGTTGGTGTGCGCACGCAGAACATGTGTCCGGGTCGGCGAGGGAACATCCACCCGGTCTCCATGATGACCGTCATAACAAAGCTCACGGGAGGGACCGCTGGATGTTGTGAGGTTCTGTTGAGCCCGTTTCCGTGGAGACAGTGGCGTCAAAAGCGGAGTCGTCACCAAATGGGTATTTAATGATTCCTGATGCTCTCAGTCTGGCAGAGAGTGTAACTAAACAACACGCCTCACTGCACGCGCTCGCACACCTGTCTGTGTTTTGTCAGTTTCTGCTCGGCTCCCTCCGCCCCGTCGTCTCGCTCCAGAGGGGTTTTTCTTTCCTTTCTGTTTTTTTGCTCTCATCAGTGAAGTACAGTGCTAGATTGTTTTTACTGCTCTCCGAACCCCACTTATGCCCTCCCATTACCTCACGTCTGCCGTCTCCAGCAGGCAGGACGTTTGAGTTGAGCTCCGCTGACGTCAGCACATCTGCCAGACATCACGGCTCAGCGGTGCAGAATGCCGTGTGATGGAGGCGCAGAGCGTGATTTGTTGTGCGGTGGGTCCGCTGTTGGTTTCCCTCCGGGCCGCAGGACTGTGGGTCTCAGCCTGCTGGTGGAGGGTTTGTTGTTTTCATTGACAACACGGATTAAACGTCACGTCTGCGAGAGGAGATTACACACCGCAGACTCCAGAGAATGTGCATCAGTATCTAATTATTCATGCGGCTTTTGTTTTCAGTTTAATAAATTAAATTCATGTAGGTTTGGCTGTGTTGTTTTTCAGCTGTGACACATTTAATGACATGTAAATGGCCCTTGAAACAGAGGGCCAATAAAGTCTTTAGAAACCTGGGAAAGTCCTGACTTTAATTATTTGTTCCTCCAGTCTGAATAAGTTTGATAAACGCAGCTAGTTTCTAGTGCAAATATCTTTGTATAGTTGAAATGATAATAATAATTAAAAAAAAAACTTATATGTATCTTTAAAACTTATTTTAAGTCAATAATTCCTTAATCCTAGCAGATTATTTTACTAATATGTTGGGGAAAATGTTGTGTTATAAGTAAAATGATCTGCCAGTTGAACTAGTAGTTTGTTGTAAAAATAAGCTCCCATCTCGCGCTGAAAAGTTACTTGCTAGTTTTTTCTTAATTTGAGATATTTGCACAAGAAGCAAGACAAAAGTACTTGACAAGATTTTGTGTTTTTGCAGTGGAGTTAAAAAACATAGAAAAGTGATTAAGATTTCGCTTCTTACTTCATGGAACAAGAGAACAAAATCACGTTTATTGTGATAAAACTTAAGTTCTTGCTTCACTTTTTAATTCATTTTGCTTTGAGTGACACACACACACACACACACACACACACACACACACATTAAGAGATGCAAAAAATGTAGATTTACTGTTTTGATTTGGACTTTAGATGTTTTCCTTTCTGTTTTAAATTGCATTCACTGTTACTGAACTTGCTTTGAATTTTTGTTTGGTTTTGGACTTTAGAAAAGTTATTTAAACTTTATAATCTAATCCAGACTTTTCTGGGTTTTATCTGACCCTGGTTTAGTCAATAAAAGACTATTTTAGTGCTGTGTTGTTTCTTAAATTGTGTGGCCAAAAAAATAATAAAACTAATCTATTTTGTATTCAAATATAGATAATGTCACAAAAACTGATTAAAAAAGTCTGGAAAAGTATTAAATAACTAAATGGTCAATTAAAAAAAAATCTCTTTACAAGATTTGTTAGCATAACAAGCCTTTTTTGTTCCAGTTAACAAAATTGTTTATTTAAATTAATAAGCAAATTTAATGACAGTGCAGTCAAACCATAAGCAGTTGAAATCCGCCCATCGACCTGATTTGCAAAGCGATTGTTAACAGATCACGTCTCCTTTTGCTTGCAATGGTTACATCCTGAGAAAAGCATGCAACATCATTGCTTTGTGTCAAAATGACCTCAGATGGGAGGAGATTGCAGGCAGGAATATTTCTTCTGGAAGAACATCAAAAACTTAAATGTGAGAGTAAGAAGGAGTCAGTGGGAGATCCACAGTGTTTACACAAACATTTGAAAAGAAAATGCATTGCAAGATCTGAATGATCATATTTGAAACAGAAGTATGGTTTACTTCTCTTCAAGGGAAACTTTACATAGCTCATTTTTAAACTTATAATACTGTTAGACATCTATTAAATCCATAGAACTAAGTCTGCAACTATTGATTCTTTTAATAATTGATTGATCTGTTCATTATTCTGGTGATTAATCATAAAAAACTTGACATTTTGTGCTAATTTTAAATATAATATTAGGCATACATTAAAAGATTCAATTAAGAAAGTAAAAATTGCCTAAACTACATAAAGTCTGTCTGTCTGTCTGTCTGTCTGTCTGTCTGTCTGTCTGTCTGTCTGTCTGTCTGTCTGTCTGTCTGTCTGTCTGTCTGTCTATCTATCTATCTATCTATCTATCTATCTATCTATCTATCTATCTATCTATCTATCTATCTATCTATCTATCTATCTATCTATCTATCTATCTATCTATCTATCTATCTATCTATCTATCTATCTATCTATCTATCTATCTATCTATCTATCTATCTATCTATCTATCTATCTATCTATCTATCTATCTATCTATCTATCTATCTATCTATCTATCTATCTATCTATCTATCTATCTATCTATCTATCTATCTATCTATCTATCTATCTATCTATCTATCTATCTATCTATCTATCTATCTATCTATCTATCTATCTATCTATCTATCTATCTATCTATCTATCTATTGGTTTCTGAATATTAACACATTCTGGTTTCTGGCCTGTAGGTGTCACTGCAGTGACATTTTTAACTATATACAAACTATTACACACACTGCAGCACATCAGTATTAAACAATTAGCATTTCAATCAGCTTTTCTGCATATTTGTTAAACTTCCAGACTAAAAGGTTTTGTGATGTTTGTGTTCCTAAAGTCTTTCTAATTTGACGCAGGTGCTGAATGAAGTGGTGGTGGACCGAGGCCCGTCTTCCTATCTGTCCAACGTTGACTTGTACCTCGATGGGAGGCTCATTACTTCGGTCCAGGGAGACGGTGAGATGAGAAAACTCCTTTTTTTTCTCTCTTCTTGTTCTGCTTCATCTCAAAAACAGAGTGAAAATGTCCGTGTCCTCCAGGGGTGATCGTGTCCACGCCCACCGGCAGCACGGCGTACGCAGCTGCAGCAGGAGCCTCGATGATCCACCCCAACGTCCCCGCCATCATGGTCACACCCATCTGTCCACACTCCCTGTCCTTCAGGCCCATCGTGGTTCCTGCTGGAGTGGAGCTCATGGTGAGAAGAAGCAAAGAAGAGGGGATCTAATGAAAATAACTAACATGGCAGAAACTATGAAGTGCAAATTCAAACCAAAAAACCCAAAACTCAACTGTCAGTCACTGACAGGACTGGACGATATAGCTGAAAAATGTATCACCATGTAAACGTTTAATATCAGTCTATCGATAATTTAAGTGTTTATTAATAATAATTTACAGTTTGATGATTGATATACACCAAACTGTGAGCTTTCCTGGTTTTTCCACAGTTTTCACTTCACGCTGTTGTTTTTAGAGTTTGAGCTGCTGAAGCTTTTCCTCTGCCTACATCCCCCAGAATGCTGTGTGGTTCTGGGATGGACTTCAGGGAAATGATTGGTCATTCCATCAGACGTGTTATGTATTGATATTGTTATTGATTGATGCAAAATTAATATTTGCCCCAAACATTTCTGTCACTTTTAGGGATTTATAGGTGAGTTTAAAAAGAGAAGATGTTCTGCGCTGAAGCCTCTTTTTTTTTGGTTTGCCAACAGATCACTCTGTCCCCTGAAGCCAGGAATAACGTCTGGGTGTCGTTTGATGGCAGGAGGAGACAGGAGATCCAGCATGGAGACTGGTACATTTTATACGTCTCATCAACGCTCCTCGTCTGCGTCGGCTGCTCTCCTTACCCTCCTTCTGTCTTTGACAGCATCAAGATCACCACGTCTTGTTACCCCGTGCCGTCCATCTGCTGCCATGACCTGGTGTACGACTGGTTCGAAAGCCTGGCGCAGTGCTTGCACTGGAACGTTCGCAAGAGGCAGGCCCGACTCGCCGACGTCTCAGACTCTTCGGACACGGAGAACTGAAAGAGCGACGGCAGAGGAGATCAGGTTCGCTCCGAGATCTGATCAGAAAGCACCAGACTGTGACAGAGGCAGATCAGTGTGACACAGCTGCACTGTACAGGCTGTTATAGTGAGTTTACCCCTGAGTCATAATATCTTAATGCACACTGCGTTTTAATTTGACGTTTTTATGAGAGCATGCAGACACCTAATGCAATATGAGCATTGAGGAGATCATGGCCCTTCCATACATAAAAAACAGCATGCTATAGGAAAAACTTAGCATAAAAACAGCCTGAATAAATAAAACCTAAGTAGACTGACCTTCCTATCACATGTAAATGTGTACATATAGATCTCTAGTTTAAATGTGTGTGTTATATTTATGTTCATATGTCAGCAAGTTGAAACTATTACTAACGATGACCTGAAGTTTGTGTTTTCCTGCAGCATCTAGAGCCGTCATTTTGTTTGCACTGTAGTTACGTTTGAAGCTAAAGCTGCACTCAGACTTCACAGCTACGTGAATTTCATGTTTATGAAACTGACAAATAATGATGCAGAAAGCCATAATGTGAAAATAAAAAGCTTGAACTGTTCTCTTTGTTAGCTTGATCTTTGCTTGTTAAGTCTTTGAAAGAACGATGAAACTTGTTTGCAAAGCAACTTTGCAACTTTCTAGAATGTAGCAAAGCAGAGTGCAGCATGTGAGGATATTTATGTTTTATCACAGTGATATGCGCACTCTGTTTCCATAAATGGCAGTAACACCAAAAAAGTTAAATATTTTTTGTAGATTCATTAGTTATTTCCGTTACTTTCTTGTTTCACAGCTAAACACAATTCTTAATGTTTTTAAAGAAATATGCAAGGCAACTAGCTTTCTAATGGTGACTAAGGGCTGAAGAAACTCGCTGTTCACAGAAAGTTGAGTGGAAGGAAAATTTTTGCAAGAATAAATGACGAAGATTAAGTTTTCTGTAGATTCAGATCAGCTGGAGGCCTGAACTGCCGCCACATAAATGCATCCACAGGTTAGAGGCGTGGAAATTCAACTTCTGAACAGGAGTCATCAGAAATGACAAAAAACTATATTTGATATTCTGAGTTTTGAAATATTTGAGAATATTTCTTATTACTAATAATCAAAACAAATATAAATTTATGAATGGAACTGAGTTTCACTTTCAAACTAAATTACCTCAATAACATATTTTTCAAGATATATTTGTAGTACATCCTAAATTGACAGTTTTGTTATAACTCTTACATTTTCCACACAGTGACAGAAACCACACATTCTCTTGATGCTTTCTAGGTTTTTATTGCAATGATAACATACAGATATAATCCAGACATCCAATTTCAGTAAATTACACTTCAATATCTTAGAAGACAGTCTTGAGAGTGACATCGACAAGGTGGTAAAAAATAAAAGACACCAGAGATAAAATGTGGAAGGTTTTTTTTTTAAAACATTTTTACTTGAATTTTCCCTGTAAATGTGCGACGAGAAACAGCAGCAGCAGCAGCAGCATAGGGTGATACTACGATACACAACAGATCGATAGTTTGCAACAGTCAAGAACAGCTGGGAGAATCGTTTTGTTTTTGTGTGAAGAATCAGAGTTGAGCTGCTGGCATCTCCGCAAACAGATGCACTTTTGCCCGTTTCAAAACAACAAAAAAAAAGGAAAAATTATTTTTTTAAAAAGGAAAAATTAAAAAAATGATGGAAACAGAATGATAAACAGGACGACATGCAAATTAGAAAAATCAGAATGCGGCACCTCGTTAGGACTACATTAAGGGAAAAAAAACTACTTAGACTAGACGACGTACAGAAAGCTGTGTTGATGTTAAACCTTTTTATCAGTTTGTGTTACAGGAAACTTCAGGTTTCTTTGTTAGAGGGAGAAAAATAGACCTGGTAACTCACAACCAACCACATCACACACTTTGACATAGCTGCAAATCTAATAAAAAATAATAATGCTGCAATCCAATGATTCCCAGATTCTATCTTTTAAAAGTTATTCTCTATGATTTAGATAGAAACAATGACAGAACAAATGAAAAAAAGTTGTTTTATAGGCTTAGACTTTGAGTACTATATGCATATATCTGATACATTAATAGAATCCATATATAAACGATACATTTCTGTTTTATACTTAAATATAATCCTTGCTATGCCTAAAAAGAGCCTCTAACCCAAAGATAAAGTGAAAGAACAGCTTGGACCTCAGTGACTGGATCTCAGCCAATCAGTGAGCGGATCTGGACTCAAAAAATAAGCCCACTGATTGGTTGCGCAAGTCTAGATACAACTCCTTTGGGTGAGTCTGGTGTGAACGCAGTTTTAACGGTTTCATTGAGACCAGAATCCTCTCTGTTTACCTGCATGCTAACAACTTTGCGCTGTGCTTTTTGAGAGCATTTTTGACACTGTAGTTACAAAACAAATGGCTTAATAAAACTGAACTCAGATGCTCGAGTTTAATCGTGCATCGCTTTAGTTATTTGGTGTGTTTGGCACTAGAGTTCACTTTAGATCTGGTTTGTTCCCAACTTCAGCTCTTACAGAGTTAATTCATCAGCAAATTCTGCAGTATTAACAAAATCTAAAAAAATATTTAGCATGCCAGCTGTCTCCGGTAGCTTAAATGTACTTGTAGAGATAAATTACATGAAAAAATATTTTATACTGAAAGGGCAACTGCAATAAGATTATTTAAAAAACAAACAAACAAAAAAAACAAAAGCATCTCAATCGATTAGAGTATTTCAGTTCAAAAAGTTAAACTAAGATTTATTACGCGGTAAAATGTTTCAAAAGTTTATTTTGTTCATAGTGATGACTAAGACTTACAGCTAATGAATAAAACTAAATAAAATAAAAAAAGAAGTGTCATGAATTGAATGAAATGAATAAGTTGGAAGTTGAGTGGAACTAAAACAAAAAACTGCACCAGCAACAAGGCCTGCTGATGTGGCTATTAGCTGTAAGACATATTCATCAAAATAAACAAGTCAAATATCTGAACATGTGCAAAGAATTTATGTAACACAGAAGTTTTCCTCTCTGAATTGAATTAGTGAATAAATTAATGAATTGAGATGAATCTGAAGAGACTCTGCAGACCTTTAATCTGCCTCTGTGGTTTTGGGGATTTGGTCCGTCTGGCTGAGCTCAGGATGAACAGCTGGCACCACGATTGTCCTTCTGCCTGAGGAATCTACCGGACTCACCAGATGACCGGACAGGAAGTGCCAAAACGTCCTGACCGGTGAAACACGACTTCCCACAATCATCTAGATTGGACCTCTTCTTGTTCTCCAACTGAAGTAAAGACCCTGGCAGGCGGTGTTTTGATAGGTTCCTCAGGCAAACAGCAGTTTCATTTTAACATAAATAACATTTAATTGGAAAGGAATCATTTCCACCGTAAGGCTTCTTCTTCTTTTTTTAAACATTTTCCCCATCATTATGGCCGTAAACCTGTGAGCGATGTGTCTATCCCGGTTCTGTTTAGTGGAAGGAAGATCTCAACAACATGAGACGGAGCCTCTGTGCTGCCAGAGAGGCTGGACAAGCAGGTCCTGGGATCACAGCAGGGAGGGAGGAAACGAGAGTGATGGAACTGGAAGTTTATGTCTCAGCAGTCTGGACTTTACTCTCGCTGCCCTCTTTCCTCTCGTGCACCTCCTCGTCTTCCTCCTCTCCTTCTTCCTCGTTTTCCTCCTCCTCCTCCTCTTCCTCCTCTGTGTGCTGCTCCAGCTCCTCCCTGGTGATCATTTCAAAGTCGTTTCCGTTGCTGTGCTGCGAGCCTTCGTCCTCCCGGCGGTCGCTGTCCGTATCCGAGTGGCGGTCTTCCGTCGCGTCTCCCTTCGCCTCTTTGCTCTCCTCGTCTTCGTCCTCTTCCTCGTCGTCGCCGTCCTTCTTCTCGCTGTCCGACTTTTCGTCGCTGTCCGACTTCTGCGCCTTGAGGGAGGCGGCGCCGTCCTTCTCGTCAGTCTTGTCGGAGCCCTTCTTGTCGCTGCTTCGCGGCCCTTTGTACTCGTGCGTGTAGATCGGCCTGAACGAGTCGATGAAGCCCACGTCTGCGGTCAGGTTGGGCAGGAACCAGAAGTGATGGCGTCCGCCGGTCACCAGCCAGATAATCAGGAAGAGGATGCAGCGAGCTGAGGAGAGAAGGAACAACTGGATAGGAAGACATTTTCTCACAGTACACCATAAAACTTTGATAAATGTTGTTTGTTTTCTTTTTTAAATCACATGAGTGCATTCTTTCTCAATATCCTTAATAAAAAAAGATCTGAAAAGTGTGGGGTGCATTTATATTCAGTCACCTTTACTAAAATAAAGAATCAGTTGCGTAAACTCAGAGCAGGGCCCCAAACTCGTCATTTTGGGGAGCATCAAGATTATAAATGTCAAAGAATGTATTGATAAAACAAATGGTTAAAATGTCAATAAATACCTGTTACTGCATTTAATGAATACTTCTTAAAATTAAATACTATTATTAATTAGAATTTGCCCTTATGTATGACGGTAAATGTGATTTTTTTTGTTACTTGCCACATCGATAACTTGACATCAAGTAAAGCTGAGGCAGCGGTGTAGTACAATCAAGAAACACTGCCCCCTGCAGGTGGGAGTCAGCGTCACTTAAATGGGCTTGGAGATTTTTGAGGAACATTTGCAAAGATACATTAGTGTGAAAAAATTGCAGGGATCTGTTGAGTTTATGTGAAATTCCTCCACTGTGGAAAAACAAACTGGATGGACTGATGGATGTATTTTGGCAGAAAAAGATAAAAACTGATTTGATTTGATTTATAAAACAACACTCAAGCACTCAACTGTTAACTATAAGGTTCTAACTTTAGTCTGGAGGGCCACATAAAAAGCATTTGGCTGCTGGGCCTCGAGTTTGACCTGTTCTTTTGAAGTTTATTGGAGTTTAATAGTACACAAAACCAAGAAAGCTATAGAGAGCCCATTAATTCAAATTTAAACAAATGAATACCGTGATTAATAAATAATTAAAAAATGCTCTATCAAATAAATAAATGTTTCTTATGTATTTATTTCATAATAATAATTCTGTCACTTTTGTTTTGTAAGCTACTTTACATTTTTCAGTTACTTTGATTTCTCTAACTCTGTTTTTATTCAAAGTTCTTTTTATTTCATATTCTTATTTTCAAATAAGGTTTTTTGATGGAAATTAAAAACTAACATAAATCCCAAAATAAATATGGAAGTGAATGAATAAATCTTAAAATAAGTAAAAAAAAATAAAAAAAAACCTAGACAAATAATTAACTATTATTAACAAAATAAGCTCCAGATATTTTTATTTTGTTGGAACATTCATTTGTCTAGTTACATACTTAGTGGTTATTTATTACAAACTTTTGAATTAAATGGTTCTCCATGAGCAACACACCAGGACAGTAGGCGATAAGATTTTAGTTACATTTTGGTATCAGTATTTAATGCATTTAAAGTCAAACATCACATGAACGTATTTTTAAAACATTATTGTCACTGTGTGGAAAAACTCTGTCAAACTGTGATCTTTTATTTTGACAGTTCAACTCACCGACTGCTAGAAGCAGGATGCTGGCCACAAAGCAGCCAGCTGCAACACTCAGATAGTAAACTCCAACACGCATTTCTGCAGGCCACAGCGGGAACAGGGTTGCTGCAATCACTGCAATAACTGAGAAGAAGAAGAAGAAGAAGAAGAGTTAGGAGAAGAAGAAGAGGGTGAGGCGATCGCTCCATTCGCGGTAACCTTTCGGTTGCAGGCCTGACTTACCGAGGATCAAACCCATTGCAAACGTTTTGAAATGAACCGGGTCGTAAATCCACACGTACACCTGTGGACGCAAAGAGACGTGCGTTACGTTTTTCACTTCCTGAAGGAACAGCTTTTCAAAGACGCAGAGGTTCCCACCTCATTCCCATCCAGGAACAGCTGATCCTCATGAGGCTCCAGTTTAAACTTTTTCTTCACTTCTTTCTTCTTCTTTGGGGTTCCTGGGCTTTCATCCTAACGTGAAAGAAAGTCTGTTTTACAATCACAACCCTCATTGTGGAGTTTTCTTTTTGAAATTAAAATAAATTGTAAGTTATAGTAACATAATTATTAAATAGAAATTCTGTTTAGGACAATTATCAAAATTGTTTAAACTGAATCAAATATGATTCACACAAAGTTTCCGTGCATCGTGTTTCTTTAAGAGCGAGAACTTTATGTATAGAAATACTAATAAAACTGATATATTTTCTCCTAATTGTGGGGTTTGTAGCTTTTTCAGTCACAGATGCCACTCTGTCTTTCTTAGGGAAAACACAGGATTGCAATGGATGATTCAACCAGGACGTTGAAGGACGTTTAGGACGTCACTAAATATTTCTTTGCTGTAGAGGTACAAAAGTTTTCCCCTCAAATATTTAAAGTTTGAACTGGGTAAATATAAACAGCTGGGTAAATATCAACTCACTGACTGTTTTGAGGTCGATCAGCTCAGAGTAAAGGTAACAGAAAAAATATAATTTGTTTGTTTTAGACAGAACCAAAATGATGTTCAGTTATAAGTAATGAAAAAGCAGCTGCAGATAAGCTATAATTACTGTCCATTTCCAGATTTTTTCTAAGTCACTTACACTTTTCTCTTTCTTGGTTTCAGCAACTTCAGACTCTTTCTTCTTCTCTTTCTCTTTCTTCCCTTTTTTCTCCTCCTCTTTGCTGCTGTCACTCTTGATTTTCTCTTTCTCCTTCTCTTTCTTAGCGTCTTTCTCTGGCTTCTTCTTCATCACCTTAAGAGCTCGGTGGAAGAACTGCTTCTTTAAGAGTCTGCAAACAAGAAGAAAATATTTGATTTTCAGGAGCTGTATGTAATATTTACTGCTGAAAGTCCCCCATTTACATATATAGAGAAAAAATGTAAGAAATTGTGGCTTTGGAAAGTAAAACCGGCTCATCTCAGTGATCCACCCAGAGTTGGATGTGCTGACGGACCTGTTGCAGTAATCTACCACCGACTCTCTGGTGGTGAACAGCGCCTCTTCTCCTTTCTTAGCTTTGGCCCATTTGGAGTCCAGCAGGCAGTCCACGGCCTTGGAGGCTGAACGTAGAGAAACAGAAAAACGTCACGTCTGTAGGGCTGCTGTTAATGATCATTTCGGTTAATCTATTGATTATTTGAATTTGAAAAATGGCCACATTTTGCTGATTTTGTTTTTACGTAAGCCTGTTGTACACAATAGCAGAAATAGATTAAAGGATGCAAATAATTTAATTTATGCTCAAAATAAGAAAATAAACACTGTATTGCCTAAAGTGCAGTAATAGCATTCCTTTACTGATTGCTTCATAATTTGTAGCAAAAAATGAATCTGCAGCTAGACAAATACTTCTAACATGTAAAAAGCTCAGTTCTTATTACTTTATTGATTAACATTAATACACTTTAGGGCTGATCTGTTGATTATTTGGGGTATCAACAGATCAATAATTGCACAGTAAAAGCTGCTTAGTGTTTGTTTTTTTTGTTTACAGAATTTGACCGAGGTAATCTAAACCCACACCACTTGAGGAGTTGAGTAGAACATATTTATATACAAAACGTTTTTCCTGCCTTGTCTTTTTTGTACAGTTTTGTCTTAATTACTTCTCTGAGAATGTTGTTCTTTCAGCAAATGATCTTTCATTCAAGTCTGATTACTAAATCAGTGGATAATTATCTCAATAATACATTCATGGGGATTAACGGTCTCAGCCCAAATACTGTGATGTAAATCAGACATATTGATCAATCAGATTATCTGGAAAAAAACTTTCACGTCAATTTAACAGATTTAGATCAGGACTTTGCCGGTGTCATTTCAATGCATGAATTTGCTCTAATTCCTGTGCTGCAGTTCTGGATAAATGTGTTTAAGGCTGTTGTTCCAACTCCGTCTCCACGCTGGTGTCAGGTATCGTCTTTATCTCTTCTTGGCTTCAATTAACAAACCTGCAGTGAGTTTATGAGAGTCTGGTCTGTACAGACAGCTGCCTGCTGCTACAGACAATTAAACACTGAACAATAACTGAGCCTGACAGCATAACAATGAGCTGCTGTTATCACCTCACTGTCTTATGCTGCAGCCAACTAGACAACATCCTGATTTTATCCATGTTTGCTCTCATATAGACTGAAGTACAGAACAAAGACTTATTTGCTGCACACTGAGATGAAACTGTGAGCAAATAGTTCTATTTAAAACACATTTCTATTGGGATGAATCATTTATTCCCTGTTTTACTGAAGTTAAATATTTCTTTGTATATTTCCTAGCAGTAGGAGTGGGTGATACGGACTTAAAATTTTTTATCATAATATTTTGTAACAACTATAAAAATGACAATACCTGCGACTTATTACTTCTTTATTAGATAAGTGTATGACTATGACTGTGTTATAGCAATTACAGCTCTTGAAAAATGTTTCTATTTGAAACGCACTTCTTTTGGACACCAGTCACATAAACAAGTGTAATTTGTTTCATTAGATTGGACAGATTAACTTTACTTTCAAATGTATAAATACTTATTGATGGATTTATCTAACGAACATAAGAGAAAACAGTGAAACTATCAATCCACACAGTAAAGACGATTAGAGGGAGCTTTAAATATCACTAATTGGAATTTATTGACAAGGATAAATTAAAATTCTTCTTTTGATAAGAAATTTACACCAATAAATAAGATCAATTCTCACCCCTACTGCACCAAAACCTGTGATGTGAAGGTTTTTGGTGCAGATCTATGTCTACAAATAAATTCTTCAGCATTCACAAGTTATTCTGGCAGCTTAATAGTTCACAGCATTTCTAAAAACTGACAAATGGGATCAGCTGTGCCACAAAATACAAAAAATATAAACCCTGTGAGGCAGAAAAATGTCCAACAAACAAAATCTGCCAAGCATTATGTTTTCCTCATGTTTGTTAAGCTGAGCACTAACCAATAAAGTAGTCGACTCGGTGACCCATCATGTTGGTGGACTTGGTGGGGCAATTAAACCGAAGGTACTTGGCCACCGCCTTCTCCTCCTTGGTGGGCTCGCTCACCTCCTGCAGAGACAAACAGCACCAAGAGTCAGACACAATGACCTCATGGGAGAACCTTATTCTCCCATGAGACGGTAAGTGATGAGGGAAAGCCAGCGTCTTCTAGCATCCATTGAGAGAAAACATCCGTTGCTAATTCTGCTTTACTGTGTGCATAAGTTTGTTCTTAAGCAAATGTAATTTTTTTTAGATGCAAAGGTAAATTAGCTGCATAGTGTTGCTGAGATGACTTTGGGTGCTAATGGTGCAAGAAGAAAACTAAAAGTTGCCATTTTCAATCTGAGGTCAGAGAAAGCGTGAAGGTATGAGAAGCTACCTAAAAAAAAAAAAAACAGTATTTAGAAACATCTGTATTTTAGTTCAGCTGTGAGAGACAGACTTTCAGTCGCAAACAGGAAGGCTAAACAAAGCAGGAAAGTTCCTCTTTTATCCTGTAAAGTTATAAACATTCATATGACATGGAGGAGTTGGAATTGTTGGAAACTAAAAGACGCCAAAGACACTTTAAATGTTACATCCAATAACATTTTATCTTTTGTATCTAGTTTATCTTTCTTTTAGACATATTGTTTTCTCTACACAAGGTGTGACATTTGATAAGCTCCTAAAATAAGTAATACTTTACAGATGCTGATCTTACATCTTCATTATGATTTCCCTTCACAAGGTAATCTGTACAAACTGATATTGAAGGTTCAGTTTGCTCATCTCTATAATTTTCAGAAACTAGTTTTTTGATCAAGAAGTTGTGAACACTAAACATAAAAATCTGATTATAAAAATCTGACAGTAACTAGTCAACGCAGCAATTTCTGACTACTGATTTCTCTCATTTCCATCATCAAAGCGTCTGGACTGCTCCCCTTTAGTACCTTGGTCATTACTACCTACTAACTATGACAGTCCATCTAAATGAACAAATACGTTATAGGAAAACAGATTTTTTATGAATGACAATTAAAATAGTAGAGTCAACCAAATATTACATCCAAGTAATCCTTTTCAATTGCAATTCCACACATATTGATGGATGAAGCTACAACAGCAATGCAATATATTGGCCTCCTATGACACACACTCCTCATTCAACATCTGTGTGTCTGTTCTGCTGCTAGCAGCGACGAGCAACATGGCAGCGAAGGCAAGAGAAGAAAAAAAAAGGCAGAATCAATCTAGAGATTCTGTGCTGCTTCGTTCAGTCCAGCTGGCTTTGATCCCCACCAGGAGGAACAACCACGCTTATAAACGCCCCTTTGTTTGGAGAAGCAGCCATTAGAGACAGATCAGTTGCACCTGGCAAGAATAGGGAATCTCTTTGTTAGTTTGTATGACCGAGGACCTACCTGGGTTGATCGCAGGAGAATAAGCTCCTCTCAACTAAGCAGGTCTGAACGATACAGCCGTTCTAAGGAAATGCTGATTCAACGTCGTAGTCACTTTGTGGTCCCAGTCTGCACATTTCAAATGTCAACTGCATGCTCAGTGCTGCATTATAGTTATTATGGAGTACCACACCGTAACCTACAGTGCCTTCCTAAGTTTTTAGGACATTTTTCACGTTGTAATCAAGTGTTTTTCAACCCTTGTCCTCAAGTCACACTGCCCTGCATGTTTTAGGAATTCTCCTGCTTCAGCACACATGATTTCAATTGATGGCTGTTTAACAGGGTGTTGCCAAACTGAAAACATGCAGGTCAGTGTGCCTTGAGGACAAGCAGATTTGGGAAACGCTACTTAAATATATTATATTGGGATTTTTTGTGACAGACCAACAAAGTAGTAGTTCTTAAGTGGAAGGAAGACAATACATGGTTTTTACAACAGTTCTGTGTGGCCAGAAAGTGTATTTTTCCTCTTTTAATGTAATACCTCTAAATAAAATCTACCACATTTAGGTGTGACCTAGTTAGTAAAGAAAGCCCACCTGTATATAAAGCAACCTCAGTATCAATCCAGCCATTCTGTGAAGTTTTTAGAGAACATTAGTGAACAAAAAGCATCACAAAGACCAAGAAGAGGATGGTTCTTTCTAAAGAAAGCCAAAAATAAATTTATTTTACAATAACCAAAGTGATACTGAGTGATATATTACATATGAATGTACTTTAAATCTAACTTGTGTCTGAGCATGTGGAATACAATGATGTTTTCGCTTTGTATTTAGTTTAACATAGTGTAACATGTTTTAATATACCTAGTTAAATAAGTAATGCACTTTATTTAAATAATGTTCATTTTAGACATGGTTTCTGTTTAAATATTTTGTCAAATCTTGGATTAGTAAATGTTTTCACTTCAAATTTGTATATCTTATTTTAAAGAATCAACTTTTTGTGGTCTTGATTTGAGTATTGATATTACGGCTTTGCATTTTAGCCCACTGGCCTTTCTTATTGGTTATTTGTTTATAGGTTTTAAAAAAAGTTATTGGATTTAAAATTATGCATTACTTTGTGTTTGTGTATCACAGGGACTTTCAACACGTGGGTTGTATAAAACATGTGTTGCAAGGAATGTTTTTTAATAATAAAGACAATAATAATGGGGTTTTTTTTTGTCTTTTTTCTTTGTGTTTTGTGCAATATCTGCACTTAACAACTACAATGGAAGCACAGCAATGACACAGCATTTGAAACAACAATAATTTTTTTTTGGTTTGTTTCAAAATAAGCTGTGTATATTATTAAGTGGGTTTCCTATTATATTTTTGATATTAATGAGAAAGGCTCAGTCAGATGGCCTTATTTTGTAAAATATGTTTTTTCCCCCCTCTGGAAGTGTTAGACAATTCATTTTATTAAAGAAAAAATTTAAACAGAAATAAATTTCTCATTTAATTTAACTCCCTTTTGAAATAGATTTTATTTTTTGATGCTGTAGACAAATTTTAAGTGAATAGAGAAGGCTGACAATCCTTGGTCTGTCATATCTTATCCCAAAATTATTTCAGTGTGTTAGGTTCAGATTGTTAAAAAAACTTTTCTAAGACACTAAAGGCTCATTTTAATAGCAAAAAAAGGTATGAATCACCTTGCAACAAATGAATCAAATCAAATCAAAACAGAACAGTTATGCATGTAGTTATGTTTGTTTGAGGCAAGATTCCTTTGATCGAAATTGATGACTGAGATAAATACAAGTATTGTAATAGAGATCAACCTAAACGTTTACAAGCTGCCAGGCATCCATCTTGTTTTCTAGGTTAGCGTTGAGAAGAACAAATTCTCGGAATTTTCCAGCAATATTTCACCGTCGTCCTGTTTCTTTTTAATTTACTATAATTCAAATGAACAGAAGTGAACGGCTCGTTGTATTCCAGTGAGGACGAAGTTAATGAAGCCTGTAGGTACAGGTCCATATACTCTTAAGTTTTTTGTCTTCAAGGCGCTCAAAGAGGGTCTCCAATTCATCTTCCTGGACACATGAAGAAGTGTATTGTGTCAGCTCGCTAATTAAATTGCCCCTCGTTATGTAAACACGGTGCTTAGAGCTGACGCAGCTTAGCCAGAAAACATTTATAACCACTTCAGCCTCGATGAGAATGAAAAGGATGAGCAAGACAGAAAGCGGAGAACCGTCCATAAAATGGCAGGAGTGGGGGATATGTATGAGAGCTACAGGTCGCATGCGAGATAAAGTGCAGTAAAAACTGGTATTTATTTTCGCTGCTTTGCTAATCATAGCAACCGTTAGCTACTTACAGCTTCAATTGCTCTCAGTTATTTAACGACTCTTGCGTTAGAAAAGGCTGCCGTTGGGGGTAAAGTTCGACGGTTCGCCGTACAAACCGACCCCGAATTTTATTTGTAGTGTACCAACCGGCGGACGCAACATTTCTTCGCGAATGAAGTGATGTTACCTGGATACGCTTCTTGTGCCTCCTGCGCTCCGCCATGATCCTTTCCAACTCAGCTACCCCGTGTGTAAAGTCTCGCGAGACTCATCGGCAGCGAGAAAACAGAGCTTTGCATTCACAACTATATGTTACCTTTAGTTTTAATGGTCAAAGTTAAGCCATTTCAAATTAATAATGGCGCGCTCAGTAAATTGTAAAATAAGACACTGAACTGAGAGTTCATTTTTTTTATTTGTATAAAATGAGGGTGAGAAGAAATTTTACATTTCATGTTTACATGTTTAAAATGTTCCTTGCATATTGTAGTATTAATTTTTTTCATAAGACATGCCACATTAAAATTAATTTGTTAATTAATCTATTTTTTTTTATTATAAATTCACAAAATGTAAACTCAAGTGCCGTATTTCCGCCTCTGGGTGTCGCTGTTTCTTTTGCCATTTTGACTTCTCTCCAATGGGAATATTGCAGGAGATTACAGCAGATTGGTTTGGATGGGACTAATTGCAGTGATGGATGCAACGTTGTGTGTGAGATGTGATTCAGCTGCAAGGATTAAATACTTTATACTGACACACATATAAGGAGAGGCTCTACTGCATATTAATTTGTAGAAAAAGACTTTATTTTTAATCAAATAAATGCAAAAAAGTATCAAACAGCAGAGGCAAAATGAAAAAATAAGCCATTATATAGTAGTTAAATGTTTCCCACACTGTAAAAACACAAAATCTTCCCAAGTATTTTTGTCTATTTTCTTGTGCAAATATCAAAGTATGCTTGAAATCAGACAACAATTACTCAAATGTAAGTTTTAAGCAATACATAATAGTTTCTTTCAAGTCATTGATTCTTGAATATTGATTTTAAATAAAACTAATTGTTCCACAGGCAGATCTTTTTTTTTTTTTTTTTTTTTTTTTTTTAATTCTCATGTGAATATCTGCCAGAGTAGCTTGTTCTTTTTTGTCAATATTCAGGAATTATTGACTTAAAACAAGCTACTGTATATTGCTGAAAAGTTACATGCACGTTAGTTTGATCTTATTTTAGCTGTGCTAATATAATTGTACTTGAAACTAGACCAAAAATTCATTTTTGGGATAGATTTGGTGTTTCTGCAACACATAATTTCTATTGTTTTTAGCTCAGCTGAATAAACAAAGAGAATCAGAAGCTTATAAAAATAATTAAAATCTACAATCAGAAACTATAATGTATAAAATATAATTGAAATTTATTTTTGATTTTTTTTACTATGTACATGTATGGGCATATTGAACAGAAAATACCATCGTTAACACTGACTCATGACGTAAACAAAAGAAACAGCTCTTCAGGCCTGAACCTGGTTCAGTTCTTATTTGTCCCTGGTGTCTGCAGAGATCAGGCCATCTCACTGCTGGCTGAAGGAGGGGAACTGTTTTCCGCCTCGTGAAGATGTTCAGTGGATTTGATGACCTCTGGGTCTCTCGGGCTCGCTACCATATCCTCGCTGTTGCAGTTGACGGGGGAGCCCATTTCTGGTGAGCGGTCCCCGGGCTTTTCGGAGGCGGCCTGCAGAGCGGCGCCGGAAAGAGGCAGGTTCAGCATGTACATCATGCTGCCCATTCTTCTGGAGACCTGCAGACATGCAAGGAAAGTAGATGTAGGTTAGATACAGAGAGCTGCATATGATGATGGCAATAACCAGCTTAACTTTTCCTCATTGGGAATACTTAGAGACAAGTACGCCATCAAAATGGATTGCACATTTTTAGACCAAGATTTCATTCGTTACTGTAGTGAGCAATGAGATTTTTTTAAATGTTCCTTGAAATCCTCCTCAGTGTGTGTAGATGAACTTGTTCCAATTATTTTAAACTTTAAAATTTTTGCCTTATTCCTACGTTTAAATGAATAACTAATTTTTTTGTGTACCTGTGATCGTATTTTCAGAGCCGGTCCGAGTTTGAGCCCCAGCGTGTCCAGTAGGTGCTCCTCTGAAAGAAGCGGCAGTGTTTCTCCATCAATCATGTGGTCCTTAAATGTCTGGAGAAATAATTTCAGAAAAAATTAAAGCTGCAGTTTATAATATTTATGAAAAACATGTTTTTACTTATTTGCTGAAATTGTCATTTTGTCGTGACAGTGGAATATGAGACAGATAAGCTGTGAAAAGATCAGGGTCCTCTGCTTTCCTCTTGTGGTCCTGATGTCATCTACAGCCAGGAAGAGGGTCTTAGTGCTGTTAATCACTCTAGTGTACACACTGCTCACACCCTCCCTTTGCTTTCTGCTACACAACATCTGGTTCACTGCAGCGCAGTCTGCCATGAATGCTCAAGCTAGTTTACATGGCCACCAAACAGCTTTTCTGCAATGGAAAATTGTTTCTCCGTCAATAGGTTGATTGACAGCACTAAAACCTTCCTTCTGGCTCTGATTGGTTGTGTTTGGATTCTATTCTTCAGATGATAATGGTAGCACTGGGAGGTGATGGAAGAGCTCAGTTTTTCCACAAATTACTTGTTCACACGACACGGTGAGAGTTTTAGCAAATATGCAAAAAACTTAATTTTGTAATAGTACAGCTCTATAACACAAAGAAAAGAAAGTTAGAGAAAACATGATAAAGATGGTTCTTGTGACTAACCTGAGCGTATTCTGAACATGTTGGTATACTGCTGATGAAATTGTAGACGTCGTTCACCGTCCACTTCCTTATGTCCTCTGGCACTTCCTCACCGTTCAGAAAGAGATTTGGCGGACCTGGAAAGCAGAAGGTACATGTTAATTAAATCATCTCACAGTTTTAAATGAAGCTGTAATTCTCGTGCTGCTTTTACAGACTCACCAGATGGAAGGAAGCCATTTCCTGGGACAGGGAAGACGTAAGGCATCCCTGTGAGAGCTCCGCCAGAGGAAGGGTAAATGAATTTTTCCTGGAAAGCAGAACACTGACCAGGTATTTCTTTATCATTCGAAGCCCCGTTGGTCATGTCTGAACAACCGTCCTGAGCTGCAGCGCAGGTTTTACGCAGCCCGGCCTCTCCCTCTTTGTAGCTCTTCCTGCTTCCTGTGGTCAGCTCAGAGTCTGTTTTCGTTTGGTGGTGCGTTTTACTCGTGCCACACTCTTCTCCCACATCCCCCTTCGCTTCCAGCTCTTTCTCCTCTCCAGATGTGGCTTCTGGACTCTGCTCCACACTTTTGTCTTCAGTTTGGCCCTTCAGGCTGGTGGCCTGGTTCTCCGTGCTCTTGTGGACGGCGGGCCTCCTCCCAGCCCTCCGACCTCTCTCCCTGTGCAGCGAGCTGATGGGTGGGTAGGGGCTGGCCGACATGAGTATGCTATTGGAGTGCAGCTCATCCAGGGAGGGACGGTGGACGAAGACGTCGTGGCCGTCCGGCATGCGCTGGCGCCCTCTGAAGAGCATGGGATTGGAATGGTACGACATAGGATTCTCGATCGCCATCAGCCCTTTTTGGTGAGCGTTCTCCAGCTCCTTCTGGTGCAGGATGGCGTTCATCTCCATCCTGAAGATAAGTCAGCACAGACATTTGGTGGAAATGTAGGAACAAACTTTCTGTCACTGAGAGAATTTAGCAGGATGTGATACCCCTACACAAACTCAAGCTGAGTGTTTTTGGTCGAGTTTGAAGTGCAAATATCTTGAAATAATACAGAACTAACTTACAAGTAACTTTTCAGCACAATATCAGAGTTTGTTTTAACTCAATAATTCCTCAATAGTGATGGAAAAGCGCATTATTTCACATCAAACAAGGGAAAAATATCTTATTGTTTCTTCTGCAAATATTTTCTTGAAATAAGACAAACCAGAATAACTTTTCAGCATGGTTGACAAGCTGTCTTTAAATCAATAACTCCTTAATTAATATTGATTAAAAAAAGAACTAGTTATAAAAGAAAGAATGTGACAGTGGAACAAAACATATTAACTTGTAATAAGGGGAAAATATTGTGGTCTATTGAAAGATTGTTTAACTTCTAACAATTATTTACAATCTCCTATTTCAAGCAGAAAAGTTAATTGTAAGTTGTTTGTCTTATTTCAAGTGTACTAAGATATTTGCACTAAATAGACCAAGTTGGTAAGACTTTGAATTTTCTCAGTGTGGTGATGACGTTCTGCATGCTCTACCTTGCTATGTTCTGCTTGTGTATGAGCTCCTGCCGCCGGGCAACCGTTTCCATTGGCTCCGAGGGCAGGAAGCCGTAGCCGGCTGAGAAGGAGGAAGATGGGGGGAAAAAATGGAGAACATCTTGTTAAATCCTAACACCGAAGGTTGGAATCCTCTCAGGTGGGACGGCTGCGCTCACCTGGTCCAGGGAAGGTTCTGCCAGGCAGGACGTTGGCGTGAGGCGGAAGAGGTGGGCCGAGGTGAGGCCCCATGTGCATCTGCCTCGCCTCGGATGTCACCATCTCTGAGGGAGGAACCAACTCCCTGATGAGGTCAAAGGATGAGATGTCAGGCAGCTCACCACAACTTGTAGTGGGACAACTTGTTGAAAAACAATTAGTTGAACTTCACATTTTTGTTGTTGAATAAGATTTATCTTTCCATTGTTGATAATTTTTGGAAAAGACTCTTGTGGCTTATTTTGCATTTTCATGTTGAATTTTGTTGCTTATTTTTAACTTTTTTGGATTATCTATTCTGGATTGTTACAATCCAAAGAGTAATTTCTGCCCTCAGTCCAAATAAACAAGATTAGTTTAGAGAATCCAAAGTCAAATACAACATCATATTTTATAAATATCTGATAACTTTTCTATTTATTCTCAATTCAAAATTAAATTAATCCGCATCCTTCATCTGACGGATAAAACAATTTTTTTATTAGATATTTAAATAAAACTGCTAAATTGAAAATTTTGTACTATTAAAATGTATTAAGATAGATATTTCCAAAAAGTTTAAAATGTCTGCTTAAAACTCTTGGGTGCAGGAAGACTTAGTTATGTAGGTGAATTCAGATACAGACCTCTCCATAAATCGAGGTTCGAACTGTGCCGGGACCCCCTGCAGCCTCTGCTGGCCCTGAGCGAGGATCTGCGGCGCCATGGCCATCTGGTTCCTCATTATCATCTCCTGTCTTTGCCTCAGTTCTACAAGAGCGGAGAAAATAGCAGCACAGGCCAATGAGATTCATCTGACAGGACAGGAAACTGTAACATGCTCTGACTGTCAATGGTATAGAGTCTATAAGATGGATTTGGATGAAGAGATGGATCCTCACCTCCAGCTGACATGCCGTTGACCAGCCGGTACCAGTGCTTCTCATCCAGAGTGCCCTGTTCGCCCATCGCCGTCATCTTCCTCAGCTGCTCCCGGGGGGTCATTACAAGCACACCACCTTCAACCGCCACAGGAATCCTGCTCATAAACAGAATTTAACAGGATTTTCTCAGATATTAGCTTTAATATAATGTGATTTAATTGCTGATTAGCATAAGAAGATCAACTCATTAGTAATTATTTTACAATGTTTTGAGTTTGGATTTTATGGAGGACATTTTTCTTGCTTGGTTTTCACAATCGCTGAACTTGTAGTATCTTCTTTTTGCCGCTAGAGGACAGCAGATATCTTTGTTTTTTTTAAAGGGGGCGTGCATCGGAAATTAATAGAAACAGAATCATTTAATACTTTATTAAATAATCATTTCTAATGCTTGTTATCAAAATGAATAAAAAGTAACATTTAATAACAATGAGAGCAAATACCTGAATATTGTTTGCTGAAGTTACTAAGTTATAATTTTCAGCCTGAGCATGAAACCTTAACTTCTCTCATATTTTCTGAAAATAAAACAACCTCATTGTTATGTATGTTTCAAAAACTGTTTCTTTTTAAACGTTTCCTTATATTAAATTTGATCTTTTCTAGCGCTCCCCTTGGAGATGTCGCCCACCACATTAACCTCTCACCCTTAATCTCACCTTTCAAACTCAACTAATAATCTTAAATCCACCTTGGCTGTAACCTTCATCACAAAATTAATCTGTAAATCCAAATCCTCTTCTTGTGCAAAGGCCAGCAAACATGCTCTTTTGCTGATGATTTTGTCTTTTGTTTTTCTATCCTTGCGAGGACATCTAGTCGCGATTCAAGTCTAGCACACACTGAGACAAGAATTCATTTGAGGCTTGGAAAAAATAAATCAGCCTCACCGTATTGCCCAAATCCCATTACAAAATATGATACTGTAAATGACTCAGTAATCCAGTTCTGCTAATTAAGGGCCAACCTGCAGCTGCAATCATGAATGTCTCTGGCAACCCCTTTAAATGAATCCTCTTAGGCTGATTAAAGTAGCGTATGATTGATACGTTTGTCAATGTTAACTGTGCACTTTTATTTTGAAGTCCAGTTCTTGCCAGACAAATGCTGCCATGACAAAATGCCCCAAGGCATCATGCATTATCCACAGTCCCTCAAGTTCCCTCTGAAAGCCGTGTAATCTGAGGGCTGTAATCCCTCTGTTAGTCCTGCAACAGTCTGCTGCCTACATCTGCTGACCTTCCTGGCCCGTCCCACTCCACCATCCCCACCTTCCCAGGTCCCTGCTACCCCCAGGATCCTATTAGCTAAGTCCTGGCTATACAGCACTTTAAAGGGATGTGTTAGAGGTAATCCGCACGTTTAGAGTTTTACCCTTAGCAAACCTTGCCAGTAAGCATCCCGGACAATACACCTCTAAGTGCTAAGCCTATTAGTCTCCATTAGCTCCCAGGATGTCCCAAAAACACCTTGGGGATAAATCTGGGGAAGCAATCGGTTTATGTGGAGCTATGTGGCGCGAACACATGCCACATCTAGCGCCTTCCTTATCCGTGTCACAACCACTAACATCAGCAAATCAGTGGAAAGGATTTTAAAAAAATGTTTTTATTTCTAAAACGAGTGTGAAAACTGAAGGTTTACACATAGTATTAAAATTTGTGAAATGTGCAGCTTCATCTGAGTAAAGAAAGAGTCTACAAAAATCTAAATTTCTAATGGTGAAAAGTTGTTCAGTTTGCCTTGAATAGAGAAAGAATTAAATTCAAAGGACTGACCAGCTGAGCTAATCTACCAAACAAAATGATGAGTTTTTATCGATTTAAGAAAAATATACATGATCTTACCACAATGAAGATTTGACAAAAGTGCTCATACTCCAATGTTTTTCAGAATCAGCATGTGCAAAAGTATATTTTCCAGCCTTTTCTTAATTTGAAGTGTTGATTTTATTTTCCAGCCTTTTTTTAAATTTGAAGTGTTGATTTTCTGAAAGTCTTTGTGTTTCAATTGGCCAGTATGGGGATTGAACCTATGACCACTGATGGCACAGTTACTTTGCAAAAGTAACTTTAATCGAATTACTGATTACTCCTTGAAAGAGTAACTTAGTTAGATATCTTATTATTCGATTTGGAAAGTAACTACGTAACTTGTTAGTTACTTCCAGCAGCTGCTAACAACAACGCTATGTCACCTGTGAAAATTACATTGATCTTTTATGATGGTATCAACAATGTGTCTCCACTTATATAATTGAACTGAAGGAGAGATTTTTTAATGGTTACAACAGTACAAAAACAAAAAAACTTTAGTAATTTGTGTGGTCCAGTATTGTCTGGAAAACTATAAATAGGATTGCTAGTTTTATTAATTAGTAGTTAATAAAGCTAGCATTAGCTTTATTAATTAGTGTTTAATAAACCTAGCATTAGCTTTAGTGATCAAGTGATTTTTCTAATACTGACCGTCCCCATTAACTTTATGAGCAAATCTATGGGTTAAAAGAGTAAATCTTGAACACACCCAACATCCATGGAAAATAAAAGATTGATTTTATCCTAAGAGAATAAAACTGTTTTGTCACAATAACCCAAATGTGTAAAAGAACCAACCCAACAATTTTAGCTAAAACACAAGCATGAGCGTCAGAAAATTAATTATTATACAAGCAAAAGCTAAGCAAGCAAACAAAGTTCAATGAGAGTTGTTTTATTGGCATTTTTTTCATCAGTTTTCCTCTCTATACTTTTAAAAAATGTATATATTGACTGAAATACAAACAATACATTACAGGCAAAACACAAGCTCCAACTTGCAGCATATTGCTGTTTGGATTTCTTTGAACTTCACCTCACCTCACTTTCCTGAGGTTAACAAGCCTGACATGCACATTTTAAGCATCTTGTACTTTTGTGCGAGTGAAACTGTAACGAAAGGTGAGCTGCACAGAAACCCCTCCTCCCCCAAAAAAACCAACCACCTCTGCCGTATTTCCTTCAGCGAGCAGAGGCCACACCACAGCTGCCAAATCCGGGGATTGGGCTCCTCGGATTTGCAGTTGCCTGGTTAATCTCATTACAAGAATGAATTAAAGAGAAAAATTGCTGACAACTTAGATAGAGTCCTGAGGAGGTCATATCAGACAAGACAGAAGCGATGTCTAGTCCTTCCTAATCCCCCAACACAACACAGGTTGCAGCCGTGCACATTCTGGCAATTGCATGGAGCAGATTGCATTTCTTGAGACGTTTGTGCATCGTGAATGCCATTTTCAGAAACAATTTCCCGTAATAAAATGCTAGTTTAACCCGTTTTATTACTTTTTCCTTCAAATTATTAACTGACCATGTGAAGAAGATGAACTAATTACTGTAAACTAAGTTTCTTGCTGATGCAGTCTAGTTTCTCACAAGGAAATTTAACAAAACAGAAAAAAATACATTTCTTGTATCTTGTATTTCTTGTTAGGTGCTGGGTTAATTTTATCAACCCATGAGGTTATGTTTATGCAGCATATGTTGCAGTAAAAGAATTAAAAAAAAAAAACGTGAAAGAAAAACTGTGCAATAAAAAAACAAAACATTTTTAGTGACTCACCTTTACCTTGGCAGAGCTTGCAGGTGTCGTCGCTGCAATTCAGGTGAGAAGAAAAAACAAAAATACGACCTGAACGTAATTTCAAACCGACAAGAGCTCGTCTCTCCTCTGTCTCTCCTTCAGCATCCAACTGGGCAGCAGAGTGAGCACAATCTGCTGCCAGCAAAGTGCCTTAACTAAGAGAGACCTTTTAAATACCGATTCATTTCATCTCCATTAGCTGGCCTTATCTCCTGCGGTAAGCCCTCCCTGTCCTGACATCACTATGATCTCCCATCCAACCACCCGCTGCACCTTGCAACTGATGTGTAATTACTGAAGCAGCACTGGTCCCTAAGCGTGGAGTGCTAAACCTCTTTCAACGTTTACCTCACTAATCCCGTGTTAGCACTTTAGGCCACAGTTAAGACACCTAAATGCTTAGCTTCCTTTTCTAGTGGCAAAATGGCCAGCCCCCTCCTTCGCTGCTTAGTGGCACCATGCAGAGAAACTGAACCTGCTGTTTGTAGAGTGCAACAGCTCCACTGATCAGTCTTGTAATCTCTGTTTTTTTTTTTTTTTTTTTGTACACATGTCTAGTTTGGGTGTCAGGAGTATTGTGCTCCCCAGGGTGCAAAAGAGCTGACCCAAACATGCTTGGTGGTAATTTGGCAGAAATCCGACTGAATGTTGGCTGGATCATCCTCTCAGACCTCCTAATCTGACAGTTTGTGCTAACCAAGCTTAAAGAAGGGGTCTGCACTTTGAATGATGTTTTCTTTCATGCCTAGTGAGGAGCTAGTTGTTCACAGTTGGTGGGCAGCAAAGAAAATTAGCCAAACAGCAGAAACAACACGGAGGTGTGGGATAGAGGGTGCAACATGGGGTTGAATCTGAATCTCTCTGTTCAATCTGCAGGAATTGGAGCCTCCTTTCAGAACAAATGCTCCATTTGAACTGAAGTTGCATTATTCTTATTGGTACAACAATGCTGTTCAAATAATTATTTTAACCTGTGACATTATGAAGTAGGGTGTAATATCGCAATTCTCAACCAGGAAAAATCTTAAATCAGGATTTTTATGCAGTCAGTGAAATTGGCTGTTTTAAAAAGTTTTTGTTTTGCTAAAAAAGACAATAAACTACATAACACAGATCTATTAATTATCACAGCACTAAATTCAACAGTATAATCGGACGTTTAAGAAACAAAAACCAGATTTTTAAGAAATGTAAACTGATTTACATTTCTTCAGTTAAATGTATAACAAGTTATAAAGATTACAATGGTATCTAAACAACAACAATTTAATCCTTTTACAAAATAAAATGACCTTCAAAATGTCATTAATATCTTCAACCAAAGCAGCTCAAATAAAAACATTTGGAGCCCAAACGTAGCTGAGTGAATTTGACTTTGTCCAATTTGAAGAAGGTGTTGGGGCTGGTTGACCTTTCATGACCTCTGGAAACATTTCTTTATAACCTTAAAATTATAGCGGCGCAAACGAAAACGTTTTCTCCTCAAACGTTTGACTCCATTTTTGATTTGAAGAAGAATACAGGCACAATTCACAGAGTAAAAAGCATCATGAAAGAAGTAGCTACACAATTTCTCATGGACAAAGTTAATGTTTTGGAGTGGCTGACAGTGTCTGAATTTCTGGTATTTTGCTTTCTTGGACCCCAGAAATAGTGAGATGATCATAAAGTATGAAATAAAGATGAAAGAACGAGATACAAGCAAGCAACTAAGAGTTTGCTCAGTCAGGCTGCTGGGCCACAGAGGCAGGGTGAGGAGCTCCATCTTCTGGGGAGACTCTACTCTTGACAGGCGTCACTAGTAGGACAACCAAAGGCGGATTTTAAATTTGCTGGAGGAACTTGTTATCCATCCTGGAACAGAAACATTCAGGAGGAAGAAGTCAGTGCTTCCCTGTTTGATTTGTTACCTTTAAGGTTTTGGGATTTCTGGGGTCTTTCCAAGTACTCCAGGTTCCTCCTAGTCCGAAAACATGCTGTTAGCTTAATTGGTTAATCTGAGTTGCCCTTGTGTGCGGGTACATGGTTGTTTGTCCCTTATGTAGGTGTGTGTGTGTCTGTGTTGCCCTGGCTCTTTAATCGCTCTAAAATTTTTGAGATCAAACTATTTTTAACAATAACCAGGGTGCATACACAAAGATTTAATTTGCTAATCCCACACTAAACCATTTCAGGTGATCCAGTATTCAAAAGCTACAATGCTGCAGCTATTCTTACTCCATCACATTTGTTTCTGTGTTTCTGCCATATTGTTATGTACTTATTTAATTCAGTTATTTGACATACATTTTAAATTTCATTGCGCTTTGTTTCTTGCACAGCGACAATAAAAGGAATTCCAATTCTGATTAATTAAATGAACTCTTAGACTCTTGCAGAGCGGATTCATTCATTTGATTCAGGCATGTTTGAAGCAGGGATGCATCTAAAAGTTGAGGAAAGTAGCATTTTATAATTAGACTGATTTATGATAAATCTTTAACAAATCTTGGCCTAATTTTCTCTGCAGAACGGTGCAAGCTGAACCATATTGGAACGTTTCTCTTCCAGCATAAATGACCCGTTTGCTGCAGTATGTCTAAAGGCTCAAGACTTTCACTAGGTAATTTCATTTTGTTTCTCATAAATAAACCTCTGGGTGAATGTGATTCTCACTTTGGTATTCTCCTTTTTAGCCCAGTCTCTGTTATGGATTGTGGTAGAAAGGACTCAAATGTAGAACAAAATGAGTTAGAAGAGGAGAAATTGATAAAAGGAAACTTGTGAGTTGCTTTTATACTGAGGCAATGACTACGAACCTGATTAACAAATCAGGTTAAATGTGGTACAGCTGTGGGAGAAACTGCAGTAATTAGCTGAAAATCTCCACTTTTGTTTTGTAAATATGAAGCTGTGATAATACAATTTTGGAGGAATCTGAAATGAATATATTTTCATCACCTGTTTTCTCAAAAATGACCAGAGCTGCACTGCAAAAACACAAAATCTAGCCAAGTAGTTTTATCTGGTTTCTAGTGTTCCAGTTTATAAATCACTGAACGGTTTAGCACCACATTACATTAAAGATCTGCTGTTGTTGAATCAACCTTTCAGACCTCTCAGGTCTTCTGGTTCTGGTCAGATCTGCATCCCCAGGACCAGAACCAAATGAGGAGAAGCAGCATTCAGCTTCTATGCATCACAAATCTGGAACAAACTTCCGGAAAACTGCAAAACAGCTGAAACACTTTAAATCTCGACTGAAAACCCGCCTGTTCAGAGTTGTATTTGAAACGTAATCAATCATTAATTTAATGATGGCATTTGACTTAATGTAATGTTATGGTTGTTGATTCAGTGTTACATGACTTTGTGTTTTTATGTTTGTTTTAATGTAAAGCACTTTGAAACTTTGTAATTCATAGAAGATTGTTTTAAGTAAATAATTCCTTAATATTGATAACAGTGGTAGTTTATTTCTCCTATAACATGAAAAAATTGTCTTGTTATAAGTGATTTTATCTACCAATTAAATATTTTTACTTAAAACAATCTCATATACCTTGCTTAAAAGTATAAGTTAGTTTTGTCTTATTTTAAGTGTAACAAATATTTGCGCTAGAAACAAGACTAAAAATAAATAATAAAGTGTAAATGTTTGAACTCCATTGCTGTGTGTAAAACATCTACATGATAAATGAGTTTCATTTTTTGAGCTGAATTACTAAAATACATCAACTTTTTTATGACATAATTTACATAATTTACAGAGATGCGCCCGAATCTGGGCGTTCAGAAGTCAAGTGGATTTTTACTGAAAAAGCAGAGCGGAAACTACGAATAACGGACTTAGGAATTAGGAGAACAGGGGCTTTAGGACATCTAAACCGCTAATTTAAGAATCTCTCAGGTGTAAGCTTTTTATAAGGGATTTCTGTCCGTGTTGTTTGCACCCAGCATTATGGAGTCACGGTGAGGCGAAGGGATCAGAGCCGGTTTAACCTCAACAAACAGCTACAGCTATAAATTCTCTGTGGGTAAGAAGGGCCAACGTCCATCTTCTGACTGCAGCAACAGTCTGGTGTCCGGATGAACTGCATTTCCTGCCTCTGTCACATGATGACCTGTTCCTGAGCTGTAATCCCTCCACTTTCGAAGCCTTGTGTCTTTCACGCCTTAAGGGGGAAATCTTGTTTGGATCATGATCAGTGTGATATCATGGGAGCCGGGTAGTTTTCTGTTAAATATGCAGCTAAATATTTGGCAACGTACAAAAAATGTAAGAATAAAACACGAGAAAACAAAAAAGCATTTGATAATGTTCTGATTGCAGATTTTTACATATTATGTATCTTCTTATTAATGAACTAGAAATATATGTTGTTTTTTTGGGGGACTTTTCTAAATACATACATACATACTAACCTATTTGGAATGCTCTTTTTTTAATATATCCTTTACCTTTTTGAAAGCTAAAACTTCTTTTGTTGCCATTTAATTTCGTATATTTCTGTGATTCTTATTCTGATTAGACATGAAAGATTTGCCAATAAGAAAATGGATCAGGTTATTATATCTGAATGATCATATTAAATACACTTAGATAAATGTACATTTTTACCATGGAAAAAGAGGAAAAAATTAAAAAAGGCAATGAAAGGACTTTAAAAACTATCACATAATACACAGCCGTCACACATGGAGCCTCACATGTCACAGATCATTTCTGTAATCTATACAGTTAGCTAATGTATTGAAAGCATGTTTGTTCAGCGGCCAAGGTCTGTGATTGGTGACAATCCGTCTATCTTGACATGAACAGGTGCCAAAAGTCTCACACCTTTATAAAACAAAAACGTGACATGCAGATGAGATCTGGGGTCAGCAGTCGAGCTCCACTATAAATACAGCAACACGACGCTGAACGTCACTGTTACCCAGTAGAACAGGTAGGAAACAACTGGGATCTACTGCTGGACTTTACTCTGGCGAGTCTCCATTTGTGTAAAGTTAGGTAAAATTCAGAATCTTTTTCTACTTTTTAAGGTTTTATAGAAAGATGAAGTTCCTCCAGGTGTTTTCCTTCACTCTGCTGTCCGTCCTGGCGGCCAACTCTCAGGTCATCATGCCTGGCAGATGCCCCAGCGCTGCTGTTCAGCAGCAGTTTGATGCTGCCAGGGTGAGAAATCCTTCAGATGGAGCAGCAGAGCAGGATGTGGCTTTGTGTTGACTGTGAGTCTGCTTGTTTTGCAGTATCTTGGTAAATGGTATGAAATCCAGAGGAT